AAATGTATAACGAGAGTCTACGGGTCTCAACATTGAGTTTATTGAGCAAATATCCAATGTATTTTTATACAATGTAGAGTAGTAATTCAATAGTCAAACCCGTGGAAATAATCAGATGTTCTTTCATTTAAACAAAGTTTTTGCTCACTACCAAATTTTCGCAGGGGCGGCGGACGCTTATAGATTTTCTATACAATGTAGAGTAGTAATTCAATAGTCAAACCTTTTTTAAAAAGGCCTCAGGTCGATCTTAAGGTGACGTGTAACCAACGCTTAAAAGCCTTTTTCACTGAGAAGTTGCAGCACTTTGAAATCAGTTTTGATGGGAAAAAAGAACAATGCAAAATAGTGATTTTTCGCAATTTTTGAGCCATGGTAACAGGAAATTTAAGACTGAGCATGTTGTTACAGAGGTTATGGTTCAGTCAACATATGTGCCAAGTTTCATCAGTATTGAAGCATTTTTCATAGTTTTATAGCAGTTGGAACTTGTAACAGGAGGTTTTTCAATGAAAACGGCCATTTTTCACAATATGCTCATGGGGTAAAAGGTTAAACTAAGTTTTTGTTCACTACCAAATTTTCGCAGGGGCGCGGACACTTATAGACTTTTTATTTACATTTTTGTTTGCTATATTTCAATTTTCTCATGCATATGTTTATATAACTATTGATTGCAATGTCACAATGTTAATTCGTAAAGTACGTAAGATATAGAAGAATCGTTTCTCCAAATGATATAATCATGTCCAAAAATCTAAGCGTTATTCATAGAAATACATGGCACAGTTTATCCGTTATTGTAATTTATAATACTTTATTTTAACCGTTCGTTAAGCTATTGTAATAAATAACAATTTTAACATACAGCAACGTTAACACGGTGTGTCAATGTTAATATTAGTTATACGTTTTGACTAGAAATTATGCTATTTATATTCTATAAGTTTTAATATCAAATAAAGAAAAAATATAATTATATAAACAAAATACGGTATTAATAGTCCGTATTAGAAAATACTTAAATAGTGCTCCGTTGCGAGGGCAGTAATAACTATTTATTTTGAAGAATGAATTTGGTTATGTTTATCTCCCTTATTCGGCAATATTTAAACACGTCCATCTGACTTTTGTACGGAAGAGCATTAGTGTCAGGTGTATGTTTTTTATTAACTTGAAATTTCGAGTTACTAACTCGAATTTCGACTTACTTATCTCGAAATTTCGACTTACTAACTCGAAATTTCGACTTAGTAACTCGAAATTTCGAGTTACTTATCTCGAAATTTCGACTTACTAACCCGAAATTTCGACTAACTATCTCGAAATTTCGACTTAGTAACTCGAAATTTCGACTTAGTAACTCGAAATTTCGACTTATTAACATTACAAGAATGGCCAAAGTTATTAGTTAGATGATATAAGATATAGTAGGGAGTACCGTTGAACGATGGAGATGGATAATCGGGGGCCTGGACAAAAACTATTAAAATTAAAATTAAACTTAGTAATGGCATGTACACAACCGACCTAAAACACAAGGCTTTCTTTAATTTGTACGTTCAGGCGTTCTTCACACGTTGTATTGTATCCCATCTGTTCGAACATATCTTTTCAATAATCATATTCTTCTCATCCCTGTGAATAAAACGATCCTTTACTTCACGTGTGGGACATCTGAGAAAAGTATCGCGGCGTGGCCAAAATAGGGCGTGCTGAGGCCTTATCAAAATTGTTGGACTGACTATATTTCTTGTAAAATCGGATGCTTTTATATTATTCCAAACATATATATAACAACAAGTTCCACTTTTATCAACTTTTATCAACACAATATGAATCAAAGTATTAGTAAATAATGAATAATGTTACAAAAACATTATTAGTATAAAGAAACGTGACAGACTAACTGGCGTATACACGCCATTTAAAACTTATTTAACACATGATATTGCACAGTTTACAATAGGGTGGGTTTTGGACTTGTTGTTTCTCCACATGATGGTTGTATGTGTGCTTAAGAAAAAGAAACATCCGGTTAACACGGAAATGTGGAAAGTGTGATTTTACACCCCCCTCCTCCACAAAGAGCGAAACATATCTTCTGTATGTGTGGACAATTTGACCCTATTAAATTGTTTTGTTAAATAAATGTTAAAGGTGCTCTATCAATGTGCAACAGCTACACACGAAAGAAAGTATCTTGAATTTCACCGGCAACCAATGAAAGTCGTGCAATGTAAGTCGAAATTTCGAGTTACTAAGTCGAAATTTCGAGATAAGTAACTCAATTTCGAGTGAGTATGTCGAAATTTCGAGTTACTAAGTCGAAATTTCGGGTTAGTAAGTCGAAATTTCGAGTTAGTAAGTCGAAATTTCGAGTTAGTAACTCGAAATTTCGGGATAACTAACTCGAAATTTCGAGTTAGTAACTCGAAATTTCGAGTTAGTAACTCGAAATTTCGAGATAAGTAAGTCGAAATTTCGAGTAAGTAACTCGAAATTTCGAGTTAATAAAAAACATACACCTGGCACTAATGCTCTTCCGTACTTTTGACTGACTTACAGATTTCGTAAAGTTTAACACTGGTAACATTCAGGAATCAATACCAAATTATTTGCCAATTAGTAGTCCACCTATTCCCAGTTCCAATGCTCATACGGATCTGTTATAAAGTTATGTTATGTCGCGACGCAGTATGCTATATGCGGCAGTATGTTTTTTTCCAGTATGGCTTAGTGCTGATGGATGTATGCGGCAATATGCCATATATTTTTCCCATAGCATACTGCCGCTGTCCGTCGATACGTACCGACGAATGCGGCAGTTTGCCAGAACCTCTTATTACACTTTATTTGTCTCTTATTTGAAATCAACCTATCAGATAATTTATCATAAATATCTGATCATTGTTTGTTATTCTTTTTATATGTGTTGTTCTGTTTAATCCATACATCAGCTCTAACCTTGTCTTTGAATAGTATACATGCTTAAAGGCAACAGATATTTTGTTATCAGCGGACATTAAAAAAAATGGGCTCATAAAGTATTGTAATGGTGGCAACGAGTTTCCGCTCAGACTGAAACTTTTTCCTGATGTTTGACTTGATTGTTTTCTTCCAATAAAGATTATTAGGAAACTTATTCATTGAATTGTATTACCAAGTATTTTGTATACATCTGGCATAAGACCTTTAATTACAAAGTAATAATAGTTCAGTACCGTACGTAAGTTAAATGGATAAATGTTTATACACATTAAGGCTGTGTCATAATTTCAAAAAGACATTAAGCCTCTAAAATCTAGCAATAACCCTGTTGATCAGCCTTTATCAAGGGTATACGACTCACGAAAATATACACTAATCAAGAATCCGAAAGTCAGTAAAAATATTGACATTTTCTAAACTACTCATTATATCATATCTTAAAATTTGTTTCGCGGAATTTATTTAACGTTTCTTGATTTTCATTTTTGAACCTCGATCTGAATAGCTACAAATACATAGAGATCTATCAATTGCTTAATTAACTTCCAGATATTTTGCTCATTTCTATTTTTAAACAACAAAGAGTACTAGTGACAAAACAACATCAAAAAAATTCAAAACCTTCAAAGCCACATGCCTATATCGTTCTATAAATTTCAAGAGGAAAATATACCGAATATTTTAATGTTTACACATACATGGTGCAGGGGAGACAACATATTTTGTAGGTCTGAGCTTTAAATAGTTACAGTTACTTCCCTTGCTATGTACTTAAAACTTTTTTGTACAGTTCTGCCGGAGTTGCTTCAATGACTCGGCGGGCAGCCTCCGGGAAACCAAAGTTTCTGGGTTCCGGGGGGAGTATGGTTGTAATGTCAGCATGATTGGGATTAAGAGTATTCCAAAAAAAAATCAAAGGGTTTTAAAACTTATTACGGATAGGTTGCACGGGTAGAGCGTGTTGTTGCCAGCAGGCTAAGGGAGTAAAGGTATATAAACTAGTTATCACAGTGAGTTGTTCAACTGGTACATATTCCCGAAGAATGATATTTTCCGATTTTTCTTTTTACCGATTTGTTCACTTCGATGTTTTTTTTCCGTTTAAGTCATGTCGTATTATGCATAACAATTTTTGTAGACTGATTCTAATGATTTTAGGCTTAAAGTGCGGTGCATTAGCTTCAATTTGATACGCAAAAATGGATGCCGCCAGCAATCATTCTCAACACTTTGGAGAGGTTCGATGACCTCACCAATTATGCTTCTTGATTGTATATACGACAATACCTATATTATTTACACTTGATTTAAAATGCTTGATTTGTTGTTTTTTTATTACCAAAATATACAGGTATACAAATATAATAAGTAATCAAATTTTGCACTAGAATCAAATTGCGTCATCTTTCAGACGGCCGCGCCTACGATTCCTGATAAGACGTTATAAATAACCCAGATAAAGATAGAAACCGTGCAATTTCCAGACGAAATTTCACGTACATGTAATTAATGTTGATTTAATCGCGCAACTCAGCCCAAAAGACGATCACGAAAAGCGAGTGTGACCGATGCATTTTTAAAATACATGTACATGTTGAATATTGATATGAAATAAACATTGTGTCAACAAATAGAACCAATACATTTCACACTGACGTGGCCAATCTGGCTTTATCGAAGTACTAATTGATCTTATTATTTATCAAACTTTTAAAATAGCGAAAACCGTTTGGGTTTAAATTTCAAACAAAATGTGAAAAGAAAATAAATTAAAAAAAAAAAGAATCCCTCGTTCTAGTGCTACGGAATAAATCTCTTGATGGGCCCTCAAGCTAATATAGTTATTCAGAAAGATGTAATTAAAATCCATTGACGTATTTTTTTTATCTTAGCGCAATTCTATTATCCCCAATTGTGTTGCAGAAACTTTAAAATTCTGTAACCCTCTGACTGTGTTTAACCCTCTGACTGTATTATTAAGACACATTTAAACATGTATGAAAGCGACATAGTATACAAACTTTATTTATCAAACATTTACAGATACATGTACAAATCATTTCTAACATCAGTGAATAATAAAAAAAAGCATCATACGATATACATTGTATGTTAAATTTTGAATTCTGCATAAGCCGGTGCTAGGGGATGTGGACGGTAGCTTGCAATAAGCACAACCGTCCATGAACAGGCTCAATCAAACCGAGCCTGCAACATTTTCAGTTTAATCGTGTTGAGCTTTCTTTAGGGATTTTGTTTTTCTTTATTTGATTTGCAAATAACAAAAAATACAATGATAAGATATTTAAAGTCTGTAAAGTCCTCCATGAATTACTTTTTTCAATAAGTATAGTGTCACTAGCACAAATGATCATTCATACAACTTCAATGACCAAGTCTACACACAAAAATGCACCATGCATTTAGCTAAACAAACCGTTCTGAGATATTCGTTATTGCGTCTGTCAGGAAAAGGTTGGCTTTTACACGTTCAAGGTTTGGTAAATGCATTTTCATGAAAATTACATATGATATATTCTATCCATTAAACTGTTATTTAGTTTCACTTTACAAGTACCTGTATGTTGTTTTCGTCACTGTACTTGAAATTTAAGTATATTTCGCTTTTAAGTGTTTTTCGCAATGTTTTTTGCATGCAATACAAAAATGAAACAAAAATATATGAGAAAGAAACACGTGTAACTTTTGAAATTGAGATGCATGAATTTTCTGTTTAAACATTAATAAAAAAAACCCACACACACATACACAAATTCAACAAGTATGTAATTTATCCCTATCATTTCATTACATTATCTCTAAACGGAGATTCCTAATAAGATACTCATTTATCTAAATCTATTCATGTTTTGAATTATGCTCAAATGATGGATTTTCCATACCGCCAGCGCTACGTGATTGTCGTTTATCCAACACGTTTTCGACTCTGTAAATGCTAATTGTTTCAGGCTGGGATGTTGAATCAACGGGTCCAACTATGGAAAATACACTTGGAATCCACAGAATGGTAAACAAAATACAAATACTGTAAGTTAGAATTGATATTCGGAACACAGTGACGAAAACATACGAATGCACTACAAAAAGTACCAATATACCTAGAAATAATCCAAAAACTGCATGGAATACCGATTGGATGCTACTACTGAGAACCGTGTTAAGGCATCCTGCTTTATTATCGCATGGCGCTTGAGAAAAAGCATAAAATATGTGTACTATGATATCGACACAGAAGCATCCTGCCACGAGATACATAATCAGCGAGACCTGAGTCAGATAAACTCCAACGAAGTTAGATATACCAAAAATAGACATTGTCATTAAGATATAAGTTATCAGCAGTAGAAGAAGAAATCGGATACTTGGTTTAAGAAGAAGAAAAAGTAGGAAAAGAATCCCAAGTTGGGTACCAGTAAATATCAGAATTTCCCAGAGAGGTCTAAGAAAGTCATCAATTTGAAAGAAGTCGGGGGAATGCACTTGAATAAAGCCGATGTCTGTGTCAGAACTGATAGGTAGAAATTTTTTATTAAAGTTTTGATATTTGTCTTTTAAGATGTCATCAAATTTCTCAGCAATACACAATAAATCATGTTTGAGTGAAATGAGTTCTTTACTCGAAACAATATCTTTTGACTGTATATAAAATCTAGATGCGGTTATAACTGAGCGTGATTCATCAAAATATATATCATTTACAAATGCTGCTTCTTTTTTAAAAAAATCGTTCTTTATTGATTTGTAAAGGTCTGATTCTGATGAAGCATTTGGGTAATTTTTGTCTCTGTAAACGTCGGACCATGACAATAAGTTCTGTTGCTTATCAACCAGCTTTTGTTTTAACTCTAAAACAGACGAGGAATCGTTCAAATACCCACTAGGATGGTATGTAACAAACTGAATGATTGGCCGATATTTAAATTGTTCATCTACAACTTCATTCCAGTTATAAAAGTACGAAGTCGGCAGAACTTCATTTTTCTGGAATACATCTATATTAACATTTACAAGTCCAAATAGTGTTGACCCAACTAATACAAGTAAAGACACAAAAGCTATAATCTTTACAGGAGTAGTTAACAAAACACGTAACATGATTATTCGTGTCAATTTTTCTATGGAGCTTTCGGTGTCAGTTCTTGAGTTTGGTCGGCTTCCGCTACAGCAGCATATAATGCAACAGTTACGCCCTTCTAGCTCTTCTCTTGTTCTCAACTTAATGCAAATACAGCAATGACGCCCGGCGTCGATTCGTTGCTCGTGTATAGCAAGGCATGCCGTGTAAAATACAAAGTGGTTCACGTAATTAAACAATATGGTAGTCACTGAAATAAAAATTGAGACAGAATTTAAATACAGACCGTTATTAGTTAAAGCTCATCACATAATAGAAATAGAAAATCTTTATAATAAAAATTATTTTTGGAACTTTCTTAGACAATACAAAAACAAACAAACAATAAAAATGATACTCTAAACATACCCATATAAATGCCCACCAATTCCACGGCGTAATATTTTGACACTATTGCTGTAGCAAATGGAATCATATAACACATCATTGTAACAGTGATGGGAATTGAGGACATTCTCACAGCATAAGCAACACGTTTCTTTCCATCTGAAATGTCATTTGCATCTGCTAGATGTGATAGAGTGATCATAGTATTGATGATCTGGTGACCTGCAAATATATTACATACCATTGTTCAATATTCATTATATATAATGCAAGAAGTACTTGGTGTTTTCGGTGTAATTTCACAATTATTAGCAGCTCTTCCATATATATACAATTGTTGTTAATCAAATTGTTTATTTTGAATGTTTCTAAGATTGGGCGAAAATAACAAGAATACAATGCCAACATATCTTTATCATCAGTTCATAAGAATTTTATTTTCGCTCTATCTTAGAACCATTCAGAATAAACAAGTAAATGAATAACTTAGTATTGTACAGTTGCAAAAAGGGAACCATGAAAAGAGATACTTAAGCTTGACCTTAATCACCAACTTGTACTTATACAAAAATTTGAAAGACGCACATTCACATGAAAGACACATAATAATATTACTGACATAGAATAAATTTCACTAAAACATTTATACTTACAAACAATTAGAACTGGAGTGATTCCTAAAACATTTGTAAACTCCACCTTGCAGGCCATAAGTATTCCCCATGCTCCCAAAACACTTGTCGGCGTCACGATGACTCCCATTCTACCGATGTGTGCTCTTTTTGCCAGAATGTTACCACCAGACATAGTGAAACCAATGTAAATTAAATATACGGTGAACACGAATGAGAAATAAGGTATATCGGTAAAAGTGTCATTTCCTATTTCTTCCAGAAATGACTTCGAATTGGAAAATGCAAAAATCAGATTTTTTGAATGCAATTTTTCGGTAGATTCTTTCATTTGGCTCACAAAGCGATCCATCCATTTACCTGCATTTTCGGCTTGTTTCGGCGTATCATGACAGAGATTATAACGGATTCTAAGGTAGGTTGCCGTGACAAGAGTGTCGTTTGCCACTTGGTAATCAGCTAGTTGAAAAAGTGGATTTTCTAAAATTGTTGTATTTTTAGGCATCAGCGATTTCACGGGAATTGTTCCGTCTTTACTATCCTTTAGATTATCAATGATAGTTTCTCCACTAACAACGCATTTATCGTTTCTCCGGGTACATATATCATAAAAATTTGAGTCATTTCCGTCGACGCTTGTAAAAGATAAGTTTTTTATTTCTTCAATCAAAGAGCTTAATATCTCATGAAATGATTCATTTATTATACTTTCTTTGTTTTGTTCCCAAATGACGAGTTCCGCAAAGAGCGGCTGCTGGATAGACTGGTGATGATAAAATGCATCTTTACTGTGCTCTGGAAATTTTTTCAAAATCTCTTGTGCCATCTTTTCTGTTTCTGTATCCCGTGGCATATAAACATCCTCGATGTTATTGTTTAGCAGATGTTTACGTGGTAGATTTAACATGCCAAGCCCTAAGAAACCGTTAATAAGAAACCCTATAAGACAGAACTTCCATGGATGTGATGCAATGAAGAGTGCAAATGACCCGAACAACGACTTTATCTTTTCTGTATAAGCCATGGTTAATGTCTCAATACTTCTGAAATTAAAAGCAACTTACATTCAATAATTAAGTTAATGTACTTTTAATATGATACACTGTTATAGCTTTGTACCATGAAAACAAGCTCACGAAAGTTATATATCGTCAAAGTGTCGTTTCTTTTGAAATGCTGACTGTATATTGAAGTGATAAATTCACGAATTAAATAAAAAATATTGTAATTAATGTATCTCATTTTTTTTCAGAAAAGAAGTAATTCAAAGTACATACCAAACAAATATTTTCAATTAGTTTCTCTGGTTTTCAGAAGTTTACAAACACCGACAATAGATAATCCTTCATTAAAATATTTATGTTATCAAATTACCTCGCTTTCTTTATAAATATGACGTAGGCTGTTTATTTTTTAAGATAACACTCCTGTGAATTACAAGAAACATGGTTTTTTTCCTATCGTTCAGATACGGTATTTTTGGATGCATAATACAACTAGAGGTACATGTTAACACAACCTTTATACAATAAATCAAATCAAGATGACTTAAGAAGCCGATTTTGAAATATAGTAATCTGAACTGAATCATGTCGAGGAATAATATATCAAACTGAAAGTCTCACCTGAAATCTTTCTTTTATTTAAAAAAATCAACAGGCTATTTTTCAAGTCAACAAACACTCTTTACAAGTAGAAAGGTTTATGGTGAAAAAGTCCACAGTTGAGATTTTCTGTGACATTACTGACAGTTTCGTTATTTAAATAGTCGGGTAAAAATTTATTTAAGTTTAAGATGTACCATATTAAAAAAGAAAACAAGCGTAGATAGACATGATTACATAGGCTTGAATAACGACTTGCTTGACATTATTGCAATGTACCTAAATATGTCAGGATTTACTGAACAGTTTTTTTTCCTGGAAATTCCAATGATTTATCACGTAAAACAGCATATCGACGACCTACGTTGTTTAAAGCAACACGCCTCCAGATTCATGCTAATTTTTATTAGAATTTGAACATGTATTTAACAGTATAATATTGTAAAGTTACCAAAGAATGCAATTTACACATTATCAATGGCACTTACAAACTATGTTAATTACTATAAAGAGGTCAAAATATGCAAAGAAAGCCCTACTGCGTTAGTAATAGAAATATAGTTGTAAATACTGAAACATTCGTTCGGTCATTAATCGCACATAACATGTAAATTTTTACTATAATTTTGAATCTTTATACCTTTCCTAGAATTTTAGTACATTTTTCTCAGGTTTGATGTTATCGAAATATGTTTGCTCATCTGGAGGCGTGCAGTTTTAATGCACTTAGTCTATCACAAATCCGATAGCATATATATTATTTTATACATTGTAATACTATGGTTGTCTCGTGCACAATTTACGTACCACTCTTTACTTTTTAAGGAGCATTCCATGGTCAGGAAGTCAGGTCCACACAACCTCTGCCTCCTTAGACCAATGTGATGTTTGTTTGGAAGTTAAACCCGAAGCTTACATTGACAACGCTATTTGTACCTGTAGCCCTCACAAAATACATTAAAATGAAAGATCTACAATACTATAACATGTACCAAAGCAGCTTTAGAAAACATTTTATCTAAGAGTTTTTAGTTTGAGACAAAGCTGTTCCAATGTCACACAAACGACAAACATTTCATCTGCTAGTTAAATTATTTCATATGAAAGTAAAATATAATTATGTATTGATTATTACCGGTATTAATATTTGATGTCGGCCCTATTTAGGTATGACGTCTGGAAAATATTTATAAATGTTTGAGCAAGGTTTCATTTCATAATCACCATAAAGTAACCAAAGAAAATAATCCCCCAAAAATCCCAAACAAACAAAATAAAATAACCGAAACTATTTTGGTGTTTGCTGTCTCGTCGCCTTGCCTACCGAGATAGTTTTTGTTGGTTTTAATCCTAAGGTAGTTCAAGACATAAAAGCAAAGATTTATCATCAGTGAATCATGCAAAATAAGATGATATGTAAAGGGAAACATTGACATTTAAACATTGATATCTAAATCCTTATAAAATAATAATCAATTCGTATGAATGCAGTCTTTTTTTACTGTATATATGGATTTGGGATAACGTCAAAAATTAACATTCTGATATGTTTAGAACAATTAATTTAATATAAAAAGGCAAGGCCATCAGTTAAACGACCATTATCTGAGCTATAATAAAGAAGTCTTTTCTTTTTTAGGACACATACATTCTTTTTTATTTCGGGACTATCCATAATTATTAAAAGAATGACATGGAATTTCATATAAAATTTCCATGATAACTGCCACATAAACGCATCTTTTTCCATTACACATCGTTCGTTTTCACAACAAATGACGCACAAAAAGGAGATAACAATATTGAAATATAAACTTTAATTAGTTTTTTACGAAACTTAAACATAAAAGTATAAGTCTGGCCAAAGAAACGATGAAATAGAAACTTTCATCAGTTTTTCACGAAAACAAAAAATAAAAGTATATGTTTGGCCAAAGAAACACTTTTGATAAAATTTTGTACTTTTTTGAAATAGTCTTATTTTGAATATTTGCATGTTTTGTCATGTCTACCTTATTAAATTGTCGTTAACGGTAAGTATTTTCTCATCCCCTTCTTACCCCATTCCCCCATTTTCTTTCCCCTTTTTCACCCTTATAGTCCTTGTCCCTTTTATTCCCATATGTGCCCGTTTTAATTTTTACCATTTCAAACATAACGTGTCCCTCTTCCTTTCGCCGCCATCATGTCCAGTCCCGATTTTGGTTTGGTGCCTTCTGGCTGCCTTGCTCTTGGTGTGTCGGGGGCTGCGCCTTTGCCTTGTTGATCTTTATTCTCGTTTTTGTTTTGTATTTGTACATGTGTGATTTACGAGGCCGTACTGGGTCGTGCGGGGGTTGCGTTCATTGAACGCCACCCTTCCTTGATGATCTTGTTTTTCATATTTTTATGCTCGGGGGAGCATATTCTAGTAGTCGCCGGGTTGACCGTCCTTCCGTCAGTCCGTCCGTACGTCCCTAATTCGTGTCCGGCCCATAACTTCGTTATTTGAAGTCAGATTTTACAACTATTTCACATAAATGATCACCATATTGAGACGACGTGTCGAGCGCAAAATTTGGGTCGCTACATTGAAGGTCAAGGCCACAGCATGACGTTGCAGAAAAATCGTGTCCGGCTCATTACTTTGTTATTTGAAGTCGGATTTTACAACTATTTCACAGAAATGATCACCATATTGAGACGACGTGTCGCGCGCAACATTTGCGTCGCTACCTTGAAGGTCAAGGTTACATCATGACCTTGCAGCAAAATCGTGTCCGGTCCATAACTTCTTTATTTATAGTCGGATTTTACAACTATTTCACAGAAATGATTACCATATTAAGACGACGTGCCGCGCGCATATCAGTAGATAGATCTAATTGAGTAGAAGAGCAGTGCAAAGAACAGTAACTCTGCCTTGCCTAAGATTGGAATTATCACACTCTGAACTTTCTCTGGGACATAACTCTGAAAGGATATACTTTTCTGTGTCCAAAACCTAGTCGGGGAACTTCACTCGGTTCAACCGGCTCTTGTTTGTACCAGTCACTACAAGTAATGTTGACCTGTCATGAATTGTTGCTTATCGCTAAATTTGTCTAAAATTATATAACTGATGTGTACAAATGGTTTTTATCGAACACATTTATACATGCATTTTTATCCTCTTATGCAAGAAGAGGTATCCACGTCACCTTCTCCACGTCATTTCGCCATGCAACCACTTTGGTTTTATCTGACAAAATATTTGCGCACCTCTGCACATATTTAAGAAGGTATCAATTACATTAAATATATGCTCATGATTAATTTTGTTTGTCACTTCCTGGTATTTACCCGTCTAATCCAATCCCTTGGCACCGGCAACTAGGAAGTTGCTCTCCCCATTCCCAGTAATAGGTTTTAAATTCAAAATAATTTATAATACAATTTCCAATTAAGACTCTTATTCTTGATTTATTTTCTCAATATTGTTATATAAAAATACAAAATAATTTATTAATTTTGTTTTGTCACTTCCTGGTATTTACCCATCTAATCCAATCCCTTGACACCGGCAACTAGGAAGTTGCTCTCCCCATTCCCAGTAATAGGTTTTAAATTCAAAATAATTTATAATACAATTTCCAATTAAGACACTTATTCTTGATTTATTTTCTCAATATTTTCATATAAAAATACAAAATGACAATGTATTTAAGTCAAGGACAAACAGTTTGTGTGACACTACTTGCAAATTTCCTTTTGAGAGACCAGGCGACATAAGGCTGGCATACAGAATGTTTAATTTTTATTATATCAATATTGTTGAAATCAAACATGTCTAAACTGGTATTTATATCTTAAAAATCATTTTAAGATAAATTCTTATAGCATTAAGAAGGGAACATTATCAAACATTTAGTGGTATGTAACTTTTTCATGATTGAGCCATGTTAGTCGTATATAACAAGTTAACCTGCTTTAAATCTAATCTAGTTGTGTACGCACTTTATGTATATCAAGAATCTTCCAACTGCAGTCTTGTATATACAAATGCAAACAAAATAAATCAAATGCTTGAACTTTGAAAATTAGTCAAGTATTGTTGGAAAGTCCCAAGACTCGCATCGAAAAATTACATTAATCGCATATCATACAGATTGTTATCTACTAGACTTTGTATGCTTTGGTTAGACAGGTTGACGACGTGCACCCAAATTCAATTGAAAAAACGATTGTTATCAATCCTTTCCTGGTATTTCACAGGAGCGTCTGGTGTAATGGGTGCAACATTACCTGTACAGGAAGTGTCCCGATTTTCGGACATATGTTTCCGAAACACTTCATGGGTTGAATGCTGTATGAGATGTACCCATGGGCTTTATTTTATTATCTCTAAGACGGCATGGTTTCAGTTTCAAGATTTTTTTAGATAAAATTGTTAACATTGTATTTGAAAAAAGGTTTTAAGCATACTCATTTATTGCACGAAACGGTTTTATGCCTACTAACTTTGTTAATTTTATTTTAAATATACTTGTTTAACATGAAATCCTCAATAAGAAAAATAATAAATAAATTTGTTTAACCTAATGTTTTAACTTTCTGTACAGTCATTGAGGACAATGAAAATATTATTATAGTATTTTTTTGTTCATTTCTTGCTAGTCTTGTTGAACCATTTTCCTTCCTTTTAATGGAGATAATTATTTCTATCCAACAAATGTAAATATAATTATAATTAGTACGATGGTATAGTGTTATATATAGAGAGACATATCTCCTACTTGTGAAATAGTTTGGATTTTACAGCACTGTAAACTGGTAATATCTACAATACAGGTTATGGAGGACATAGCGGTTATAGGACTAGGTTGTCGATTTCCTGGTGCAGACAACGCCGAAGAATATTGGAGAGTTTTGGTAAATGGAGAGAATCACATAACAGACATACCAAAAGAAAGATGGGACAATGAGGCTTTCTACAGCAATAACAAAGATGAGCCGGGAAAGTCGTATGTTAACAAAGCTGGTTTTATTAATGGGTAAGCATATTTTTATTTTATCATTTATTTGAATGGTATGAATTGATACTTTACTCACCATGCAGAAGACTGATCATCGGTAAGGACACTTACTAATAATTGACCACTATTTTCATAAGTTTGCAGAAACCAACCTAAACTGATTTCAATTTCTTTTTATCCCAATGTAATAAGGGGGGCTATTGAGATGACCTTGTCGTCCGTCCGCCGGACCAAATCCATATCTTAAAATCGGTTTGTCTATTTTTTCTAAAAACTTGACAAGAATAGTTATATAAACTGAAAATATATCCACCCAACTTTGTATGTCCCTATGTTACCGAATAAGAAAATAACCATTTTATCCATATTTTACAAATGGTTGGTTGAATTATAATGAAACTCAGCATGTCATCAAATACTAAATTAATACGATAGTTATGACCCTTTGGCACATTATGCCCCAGAAATCCATTTTTGTTAGTTTTCAGAAATGTCAAACATATGTTTAATAATATTTAAATCATGGATTAAGAGAATGTTAGATAGTTAACAACTGAAGAAAGTAGCGCTGAACATGCAGAATTACGTCGTGAAGATAGCAAAATGTTAACAAAGTAGTATTTTGAATTCAATCCACTTTAATAATTACAATTAGCCACATATCAAAAGAAGCAAAAGAAAGTTCATCTATACTGCAAATGATTTTTATTTTTAATTTTAACAAGATACCAAAAATAAAATATTTTGAGAAATAAAAATGTTTTCTGGGGCATTATGGGCATTTTCACATTTGCTTTAATATATATGTGCTTGTTAATATATCTTAGTATAAATGTGTAATGAACGCGTTGGACAGGAATCAAAGGATTTCTGGCCACATGGGTTCGAACCCGCCAGGTGCAAGCCGTTGTTTTCTTGAGAAATCAACTTTGCACTTATTGCTTAGTACTAGTTGAATCCAGGAACGGAACCTAAAGTGACCCTATAAGCTTGTAGCTCCTTTCACAATCAAATAAATTAAATTCTGTATCAACTACATTTGTATTTCAATTAGGAAATAATGTACATGTAATTTCACTGAAGTCTATTAGTGTTTTATTGAAATTTAATTAATTAAATATTAATTACATGATTGATTGATTGATTAATCGATTGATTGCTGTTTATTTAGGCTTTACACACAAAATACATCATTTATGAAATACACACTAATCATACAATCAATATAATATTTTGATACCAAAATCAAAACATGACAATTTGGTCCCGTGTTTAAGTTCAGAAATCGACCTTGAATTATTTATAGATTTTCCGACATTCTTTTTATATAACGGTATACATGTACTTCATTTGAATTATTAAAGCAGCACGCCTCCAAATTCATGTTAATTTTCACGAAAATTTTGAAAATGTATTTGAAAGTAAAATATTGTGAGGTGAACAAATAAAATTATTCACATATTTCACTCGGCACTTAAAATCCATGCAAATAACCAAAAAGAGGTCAAAATATGCAAAAACAGCCCTTACTGCGTTAGTAACGCAGTAGAAATGTGGTGATAAAATACTGCAAAATCGGTCTTAAATCGAAATAACATGTAAACTAAAACATGAATCTTGAATGTTTTTACCTTTCTTAAAATATAAGTACATTTTTCTCAATTTTCTTTTTCTTGAAATATTTATGCTCATCTGGAGGCGTGGAGCTTTTTTATTTGTCGGCGTTTCGTTAAATGGATGTCAATCGTGTAGGATGTGAATCAAGTTACAACGATTTATAATAAAATAAAGTACCGAAATTCGATACAACAAAACCTTGCTATATTCACAATACATAGAGCTTACATTTTGATGTAATTATAAGATTTTTTTAAAAAACATACATAAATGACATGCATATGATCACAGTTCGTATAGGGGTATTAATAACGTCATTATAATAATGGCGGAAATTAATGATCGCGTAACAAAAAAAATATTCTAAAACGATTAATAGCACTTTAAGCCATGTTCATCGCTCTCTTGGTATCAAATTCTTAAATAAAAGTGAAAAAAAGGGAGGAAACCATATGATTTTGCACTGAAAGTCTAGATCCTTACTTCAAACTTTTGAAATACTACTACTTTGTGTGTTTAATGTAAAATTTCCATTATGCAAATTCTTGTTGTTTTAGACACGATGAGTGGGATAATAAACTATTTGGAATCAGTGATAGTGAGGCAATGCATATTGATCCTCAACAAAGACAAGTTCTTGAATGCACACATATGGCTTTAGAAGATGCAGGATTAACAAGAACACACATTAAAGGCACTGAGACTGGTGTTTATATAGGTAAATTAACAAAGAAATGCATTGTTAAAACTCTTGAATTCTTAAAATCTTGGATGAAAAAAGACTGAAGTAAGAAATTCTGTTGTTTGATTTAAATGCATGTCAAACTAAGATTCTAAATTTTTGTATTTATACGAACGTATTTCATTTTCAGGTGTTATGAATGACGATTATAAACGTTTATCAAGTTTTGATCATGAGGAAGATACGAATTATTCTGCAACAGGAATGAGTGCAACAATTATCTCAGCACGTGTTTCATACGTGTATGATTTGCGAGGTCCTTGTATGGTTGTTGATACAGCTTGTTCCTCGTCAATGTTAGCGATACATATAGGATGTCAAGCTATAAGATCTGGTATAATACCTTATAAAAATGATATTGTTAAGTCATATATCTTTAACTTCTGCTACTAAACACAAAGGTACACTTTAAAAGCATAAACTATATGTAAACCAATACTAAAAGGATGTCTATTTTTTTGTAATATGAACTTAGTTGAGTGTGTCATTATTTCTTTTTAAACGGTGCAAGTAACAGACAGATTTTAAATATAATTTCCATTGAAGTTTTAATATAGGACAGCACCTGTTTACGCAAATAGAAAGTTACTTGGCCGTTGATAAATTACACTGTAAATTGTGTCCTTGTTATCTGTATTTTTTGTATTAAAGGTGACTGTGAGATGGCAGTGTGTGGAGGGGTTAGCAGTATCATAACACCAGATCAGTTTATCACGCTCTGTAAAGCTAGAATGTTGTCTCCAACTGGTCAATGTCAGAGTTTTTGTGATACAGCAGATGGTTATGGTCGAGGTGAGGGTTGCGGAATTGTTATCCTCAAGTCTTATTCAAAAGTAAGTTTATAGCGGATATAACTTAAATCTTTATATAAACTTTTATATACTCGATGAGAATATGCTACATTTGCAAATGAAAAGTTTATTGCATAGACCGTGGTGTACATATTTATATGGTTTCTTTATTTAACGTTTAATTCAAATTCATTTATCAACAACTCTTAACTCTTTGTTTAAACACTTTTATTAAATAAAATTATATGTAAATTAGGCATTACGGGACAAGAACAATATTTGGGGAATTATAAAGACGGGTAGCAATCAAGACGGTCATGTAGCCCAACCTATAACAGCCCCTTCCGGTCAACAGCAAGAGGCATTGATGAGAAAAATTTACAGTCAGTATAATATCGACCCGACATGTCTTCAGTACATAGAGGCACATGGTAACTTTTTAAATATTATTGCCATTTGAGCATTATAAAGTGTAGTGTTACTTTTTTCATCATACAGACTTGTGTTAAAAATTGCATTCCTTAAGCATTGACAAATTCAAGTTTATTGTGACAATATAAAAATTATGAGTTATCTATCACTTGGTTGAATATTTTGGCAACTTGCTTTTAACACGATTTTGTTTTAACAAAATGATGCACAGTTGTCTGAGAGTTGTCTACAATTCAAATGGCATCTCCTCTGCAAACACTTCGCAAAATTTGTTAAAACTTGCCTTGGATACCACTTGCATGAAGTGCTTAAGTTGTTCAAATGATTACGGTAAATTCCATTGATGAGTCACAGAACAAGAAATAGAAATTAGAGAAACCATACCTTACACGGCCCATAGAAAACAAGATTTATTTAATTTCTAACCCTGGGCTAAATATTTGGCCTGCCCTGTGGTTACCTGATAACAGTGTCAAATAGAAAAACATTTCAAAAACACCTAGTCTGTAAGACTTAACGCTTAAGCCGGTGCTAGGGGCGTGAGAAATCTTGCACTTTTACTTTATCTGTCATGAACAGACTCAATCAAAACGAGTCGACAGTTTCCATAATAATACTGTTGTTTTCGTTGCTTCCAAAGGAAACATTAAAGCAATATTTTTGATCTGCCACTTGAAGTTACATAAAAGAAAGAAGGAAAAGTACTTAAATACCTTTTCTCTATAACCCGAATCTTAAGAGCGTAAATATTTTGTGTTACTTTGTTTAGTGGACCATTGCCAATTTTATAAAAACCATGACCGTTTAAAACTTGGCCTCACTTTGCCTCTTTTCAGAATCGTTTTCTTTATAAATGCAAGCCTACAACTTTCATATTTCGTATGTAGCATTTTGATAAGACAACTGCAAGATTTATTCCAATCATGATGTATGGATCAAAATAGATCCATAGTTATTTAAAATAGATTTAATGAGTGTATGATTTGTTGATCGTTGAATACTTGGCAGAACACTGAGACAAATATTTTTACAGGAACAGGAACGGCAATAGGAGACCCTACAGAGATAAATGCAATTGGCAGATTTCTTGATAAATTTAGATCGAAAATACCTCCGGATAAAGAGAACATTACATTGGACCATTCCCAAGCAAATTTAAGGTTGAAAAATTCACACATTACATCTGAAATTAACAGAGACGCAAACACCCATATAGCAATAGTTAATCATGAAAAGACCAAAAAAGTTTTGATTGGATCTGTTAAATCTAACATTGGTCACCTGGAATCAGCCGCTGGTGTCGCTGGTTTGATTAAAGTACTCTTGATGATGAAACATGAAAAAATTGTTCCAAGCCTACACGTCAAAAAAGATAAATCAAACATCAATAAAAAGATAGAGTTAGAAAGGTATGGACTTGAGGTATCTGTAGCAACTTCAAATTGGATACAAAATGATGCAGGAGAGATGATTTGTTGTGTTAATTGTTTTGGCTTTGGAGGTTCCAATACACATGCAGTTGTTATCCATAGCAAGGAAATGATGTCTTCCATACAGAAATTAGAAAACGAAACTGCTAACAGCCTATACAATATCATTTGTCTTTCTGGAGTGAGTAAAGCAGCACTGAAGGATAACATTGAAGCGCTAGTCAAAGATATAGCATCAGGCAATTACATGATTCAAGATATTTCCTATACATCGGTTTACCATCGTGACCACTTTCCTTATCGGTCTCTTGTTTTCGGGATAACTGATGATAGCATTAAGCAACAGCTCAGACAGAAACTTTTACTCATTGATAAGATAGAGAGCACTCGAAAGACAAGGATAGCTTTCATTTATTGCGGAGTCGGGACAACTTGGAAAGGAATGTGCCGAGAGATGATGAGCACTCAGGAGGTTTTCAGAAAAGCAGTTTCCAATATTGACAAACTTTTGCAGCCTTTGACGGGATGGAGTATTGCTGACAAATTTAGAGATGACACCGATTATAGTGATCCGTTCCTGAATCACATTGCAATATTCTGTACTCAGGTAGCATTAACGGAACAATGGAAGAGCATGGGTATAGTTCCAGAGACGGTGATTGGTCAGTCGGTTGGAGAAGTAGCAGCATCATATGCTTCAGGTGCGTTGTGTCTAAAGGATGCTGTTCAAGTCATATTCCATCGATCTAAAATACTAGCGAACATGACTGGAGGTAAAATGATGGTGGTTGGAAATATTGAAGTCAGCAGAATTGAATCTCTTTGCAAATCGTTACAAGATCGTGTGACGATAGCAGTTTTCAATAGCCCAGTGTCTTGTACTGTTTCAGGTGACGAAGATGCGGTTACTCAGCTAAAAAATATTCTAGAAGAGATGATTGTGACGGAAAATACAGACATAATGATAAGGGTATTATCTGTCCAATGTGCTTATCATAGCCATCACATGGATCCATGCATTGAAGCCATTGCAAACAAACTTGCTTTAGAAAATATACAGACTCCTTCCATAGACCAAATTTCAACAGTTACTGGTGAGCTATACAAAAAGAACGACTTCCAAACAGGTAAATACTGGGCCGAAAATATTAGAAAACCAGTATTATTCAAGGACGCAATTATTCGATCAGCTGACACAAACGCACTAAATGTGTTCGTAGAAATTGGCCCCAGACCAGTTTTACAAGCGCATTTAGCAAATATCATGGGGGATCATTTGAAAGGGAAAAGTATTCCGTCTATGAAAATCAATAAAGAGAATGAGAGTCTACTTACATCCTTAAGCAGCCTCTTTGAGTTTGGAGTGCATATATCATGGGACAATATTATACCAATGGACGGCAGAATTGTTCCTGTTCCACGGTACATTTTCCAGAAAACTAAAATGCTCCATATTCCAAATGGTAAGCGACGCCTTTTGAACGGAAATGTGAATCAGTGCTCTGCCGTACATTTATTTACGAGACGTAATATAGACGGTACACCAAATTTTACAATTCATTTAGACAAAGAAAATACTCCATTTGTATACGACCATTTCCTTTTTAATTCAGTTCTTGTTCCTGGGGCTACTTATGTTGAGGCAGCATTAGAGATAGGATTTCAGAAGTCTTCACTTACAGCCTTTGAAATAAGCGTTTCAGTTGAGTTCATGAACACATGTATGCCAAAAAACGAAAATGAATGTGTGATTGATGTCGATGTCACCGATAAAAAATCAGATGAATATACTTTTTTTGTGAAAAAAGATGGAAAACTTTTAGCACAGGGAGAGATATCGCCACGGAAAGATTCAACCATGCAACTTCTGAATATACAGACTATTAAAGACAGATGTCAAGAACATAGAACGAAAGACGAAAGCTATGAATGTTTGAATAAATTACACTTTCGATATGGAGAGTCTCTCAGTGTTATTCAACAATCATGGGCCTCATCAAATGAATGTATTGTTGAATTTTCGCTACCTGATTCCGTAATGAAACAAAGAAAAGTAACCCATTTGCATCCATCCGTAATAGACGGTTTGTTGCAAGCGTTCGGAATTTTGAGTTCAACCGGCTCTCAGAATCCTACTTTGCCAAAGGGCGTTGGCTCTTTCACAATAAATAAACCTCCAGAGAGATGTATGTATGGATACTCTCTTTTAGTAAAGTCTACTCCAACAAGAAACCATTACAACTCATTACTCCTGACAACAAACGGTGAAATAATAGCTGAGATTCATGATTTCTATACGAAATCGGTATCAGATACTACAGATATGCAGTTACAAAAAACGTATTGTACAGAATGGCGTGAAACAGAGTTACTTGATGGAACTGTAAATTTTGATGATGTCAGTAATGAAAGAAAAAGCGTTATTATCTGCTCAAAACGATTCCGAAATTTCGTAACTGAAACGGACCAACAAATCAAATATATTGATGTAGATACCATTATAAAAGATGACGCTTTCAAGCGCCTTTCACATTTGCGGTCAATTGTGTATGCGCCTTTTTTTCATATCAAGCAAATGGAAAATGATGGCCAGGTCATATATGATTCTGTGAAAAAATCTTTTACACTTTTACGACTGATCATTCAAACCCTTAAAGAAAACAATGAAAATATCCCTGTCTTTGTCGTTACGGAAAATGTAATGGGACACACTGACAAAAAAGGAAACATTAATGTCTGCGGCTCCGAATTATGGGGTATGGTTCGTTCAGCAATCAACGAAGGTGCATACGAAAACTTCAATCTTATCGATATATCGCCTACGAAAGAGAATATGATTATCTTGGAAACACTTGTGAAAAAGAACATAACTGGGTACAACGAGTTCCTGATAGAAAATGGAAAGTTTCATTTTATTGAACTATTGGAAGTAAGCGATCGCAGCATTCCTGTAAGGAGAGAGGTTCAAAGAGATATATCAGAGAACAACATACTAAAATCATTGTCGGCAACATCAGTCAGAGATCAATTTTTTGATGTAAAACCACAGGCGATTGAAACAAATAATGTAAAACCTGCATGCAAACTCCTGGTTGAATCTTTATGTCTACATAGCCCGTCAGTATTACCGCTTGTACATATGACGAATGACAATGATCCAATATGGCCTAACGAAGAGGGATATACAGTCATAGGCTTAGAAGGTATAGGGTATAATGTACATGACGATACTTGCAGTGAGAAAGAGAAAACAAAAATTGTATTTTGCTATCCTGTTTCTGCTTCAACAATTCTTTCTGTTCCACGAATATGCGCATTTGACTTAACAACTCTACCGATATATGTACCAGGGATGCTCACTGTAGGAGTGATATTGTGGAACGTTGTTCACGCGAAGAAACTGTCTTCCAATGTGTGTTTCATTGTCGATGACAAAATAGAATATTGTTTCAACATAATTGCTCATTTTGCAGCACGATTGTCTGTAACATGTCAGATTGTAAAACAGTCCACAGTACGTGAAATGCCACCAGACAAAGCCAAAAACATTCGTATATTATTTGTCCTGACAAAAATCACAAATTCATTATTTGCGTTATGTGAGGCATTATTTCCGGATTTACAAGAAATTGTTAGTATTGAGGAATACATTACGAAGGCCCAAAGGTCATACATTGTAATGAAAGCTGAAAAGATTGTGGTAACAATCTTGAAAACAGAAGACATGTTTACAGTAGCAGAGATAACAAAGACAGTACCAAACGTTTATCAGAGTTTAAAATCGATTGAAAGTAATCATTTTCCGTTATGTGACAATCGGGCAATGACACACAGAAAGAATCAAAGGACAGATGTTTTGACCCTCCCATATGATGTGATTTTTCTCCATGATGAAGAGATAGTGACAAGAGTACCTTTAATGGTGTCTCAGAAAAATGTTTTTAGGAGAAATGGCTGTTACATCCTTATCGGAGGGCTAACAGGATTGGGCTGGGAGATTCTAACGTTTCTGGCACACCTTGGAGTAAAGCATATTGTTGCATTTTCAAGAAGTTTACCATCAAAAAATAAAACAAACGAAATAGAGAAAATTAAGAAGAGATATGAATGCCAAGTTATACACCTTCAAGTTGATATAACTAATTTATGTCAGGTAAATAATGCTTTTAAAAAGCTCAAAGGTGTTATAGGCAGTGATGTAGTAGTCAGAGGAATCTTCCATGGAGGGGGCGTTACTCGTGATACCTTTTTACGAAATATGACCGACAATGAGGTAGATGAAGTACTGTTACCGAAAGTTTTAGGAACTTGGAATCTTCATTTAGCCACTCTCAACATGCAACTTGATTTCTTTGTCATGCATTCGTCTATAGTGTCTATCTTTGGCAATCAAGGTCAATGTAATTACGGAGCAGGGAATTCTTTCCAAGACGCATTTGCTTACTATCGCCGGAGTCTTGGATTGTGTGGACAAAGTATAAATTGGAGCACATTATCGCTTGGAATGGCAACTGAAAACGAGGCATTAGAGAGATATTTGAAAAGCCAAGGATTTCACTATTTAAGGAAAGATGAAATACTGGAATGTTTCATGCAGGCAGTGATGATGAACCGAGTTCAGATCGTGTTTGGAAAGTTTGACTGGAACAAAATCAAAGAAATACCTTCACTTCAATCAAATCCAAGAAAAATTGAGGCTATTTTAGAAACAGTACCAATATCTAAGCAAACAAAAAAAGATAATAATAAGACCTTAGATATGGTAGAATTAGCAAAACTGGATATGTTGACTCAAAAGAATGTCCTTCAAGAAAAAGTGAAGATGAAAATCGCGGAGAGTTTTGTTCTTGATGAAAATACACTTACTGAAAACACACGCATAGTGTCTCTTGGCATTGATTCAATGGCAGCTATAAGTTTTACAAATGCAATGTTTGAATTAACAAATGTTCGAATCCCAATCGGAACACTTTTTGATGAGTCAACAACAATAGAGTTTCTTTCAACCTACATTTTAGAAAACATTAAAAATAAAAAAGGATCTTCTAGTTTAGAAACGGAGAAAGAAAATTTGAAAGGAAAACAATATCTAAAAGGAGATATCACTTTTATGCAGAAATCGTTACTTGACGATTTTGTCAGGGATCCATTTAGTAAAAACATCATGCGACAAGTTGACTTTGAAATCTTTGGTTTGAAGCTGCAGAAGAGTGACATAAAAGTTGTTTTCAATCACCTTATAAAGATCAATCCTGATTTGAGACGCATATTTTCGATAACAAATGATGGCTCTTATAATTGTGAAGTAGTCAAGGACCACACTATTGATATAGAGGAGGTTGATTTCAGTAGTATTTGTGAAACACATTCAAGAGATGAAAGAGATAAAGTAAAGATTGATATAACAAAAGATTTGCCAATGAAAGTAATGATTGGTTTCATGGAAAAGAAAACAAGGATTCGTGTGTATGTTCATGCTATCTTAGGAGATCTGTCTGGAATCACAAATATTTTCCGAGAGATTGGGGAAATACTGACATGTCATTTAAAGAAGGAAGAACTACCATTGAAGAAAATTGATATGGACCCTGCAGAGGCAATCAGAAGTGTGCTTTTGCCACAAATGCATGAACTTAGAACGTACTGGAAATCTAAATTTCAAGAGGATATACACCCGTTTACCTTTTCTGAAAATATAAATGATCAGTTAGATGAAAGAAATTGGGTAGACATCGCAAAAAGAGTTCCTCTTGTTCTTGTTGATAAAGTCATGCAGTTCCTCAATTTAAAGGGCATTTCAATGTACCATTTCATCATGTGTGTGTATTTAGCGCTTCTTCATGAGAAAACAGGGTATGATGTGATACCCTTACTGACCTTTGCTGATATGAGAAGTTATGTGTCACAACTCCAGTCGACTTTACAAAGTTGTTCAAATGCTATTCCTGTGATAGGAGTACTAAGAAAAATGGGAACTGTATCAAACTTTTTAAAGCAAACTTCCGATGAATTGAATCAGATGACACAACACGGCGCTTACCCCTATAAGCTAATAGAGGACGAAATGCAATCTGAAGAACTCAAACAGCATATAGGTCGTCACAGAGTTATAATGGAGAACATGACAGCAGTTAATAATCATTTCAAACATGAAGGTGTTGAGATAAAAATCGGAAATGTATTTTATAAACGACATGTATATGAAACAACTTTACATGTCGAATATGATACAAAACAACGCTTCATCATTCTACAGTTTGGATATAACGGAAAGGCTGTTGCAGAGAGGGACGCAAATAATTTACTTTGCCAGTTGCAATTCATGATAGACCGATTCATTCAAAACCCAAGTAAAGATGTGAAGGAAATACTGACAGAAACTACGACAGAATCGAGTAATGTAATACAATGTGATGTTGGTACTCCAAATAGAAAACATCACGAAGAAAACAAACATAATCATCACATGGATCAATTAGATAAAGAAATTCAAGATGATAGGCAAACTGTTGTACTAACAGGTAATATTGATCTATATTATTCTATTGGATAAAGTTCATATATAAGATTTTGGGTTCTTAAATTAGATTTACATGTTTCCTTCAGCATGCGTTTTATTTCAAGTGTTTGTTATACCTGTGTAATATTATATTTTTTCTCTAATAATTGTTTATACAATTAATAAAAATAAGAGCTATGCATGCGAATGTTTAATTATATGTACATGTATTTTGTGAAAAATGATTATTTAATATTTGTTTTGGCAGAAAACTTTTCGAAACAAACAACACAAGGTTGGGAACATCCGGTGCAGCTTAAGCTTATGACTCAAATTTCAAGTAAAAGAAACAGCAAAATGCTTTTGACTTGGGGTAGAGGTAAAAAAGAAAGACGATTGGAAGGTCGCGATATATCAGAAGTAGAAGTCAAGAAATTAAATGGTATCATGTTTGGTTGAAATCTTTACGAATATACAAGCTTTTGAAAATATTAAGGTCGGTTGCAGACTTAAGCTTACAAGTACGCACTAGCTCAAAATCATTCACATCTTATATTTCTAGAATTCAGGACAATTTGGCTGCAACATCTTTTACGTAGAATAACAAGTGCTTATTGTATATACTTCATAAATATTTGTTAAAAGCTATGTTACCAGGTAAAATAATGTTTATGAATATTTTCAGGGATATTCCTTATTGTTGTGAAAACTCATTCACGTGAGTTTATTTTCAAGGATCCGTCATTAGAGAAAGCAATGCGTTGGCTTACTACCTTCAAACAGGTTGACAAGGAAGTGAAACGATCTTACCAACAATAGATTTGATAATTGTAACTTTATAACCAAAGTGTGTAGTATACATGTATTTGTACTGAATCCAGGGTAGCATGACGATGTGCTTAACTTACCGTTTAGCCTTTTTGCTGTATTTCTTTGATAAATGCTTAAAGCCCCATTATGCCCCACAATTGCTTTTAATTTTGTTTCTCAAAAGCTTTTTATTGTTGTTACTTTTAAAGTTTCCAAAATATTACTTTTTGACCAATAACATGAACCACATTTTTTTTTTGTTTTAGTGTAGTTATAGTGTTTTAGTATTTTGAATGGAAGTCAAAATACTACTTTGTTTACATTTTGCTATTTTTATGACAACATATTTTACATTTGGCGCTACTTTCTTAACGCAACAAACATTAAATATGTTCTAAAACCATTATTTAAGCAATATAGAATTCATTTTTACCCTTTGTAAAGAGGTAAAAAAATTATTCATTTCTGAGGCATAATGTGCCTTTAAATTAAATTAAGATTTTCATTTAATGTTTTGAAAATGCAAACCGAGCTACATAGGATTCAATTCATCATTTGAAATGAAATACGTTTTTATGTTATCAAATATAATCAGATATCATGACATTTAATCATTTCGGTATTTATATTTCTCCTTTTGTTTATTTACAAATAACATTTTGTACTTTTTGTTACATTATATCCTGTTATTTTTTTATATTTCAAAATGCACTGAATACATGTCTCTAAAGAATCATTGCTATCATTTAATCAATAACTTGGAGATAAATGATTTATTTGCATTTTCTGCATGGAATTCAATATAAAAGGAAAAAGGGAGAAAGTCATATTCATGTTAAATATATTGGGAAAAATTCGATACAAACGAGGAAACAGCCAACTAGCTGTGTATCTATAAAATATTCCATTATTTCTTTTATCTCCCGCCGATTAAATTTGAGTAGGATACTTGAATGACGTTTTCAGTCGGTCCATCTGTTTTGGATCTCTTGGTTTATTTTTTAAATAAACTGTAACGTATACACGGATAAAAAGGCGGTTCGCCGAGTTTTAAAGAAAATTTTCAAGTTTTAGCCATAGTTACAACTGGTTGATTAGATTATAATGAAATTTGGCTTGTATAAAATAGTAAAAAACTGTGCACATTATTTCAAACTTCCGTCAAGAGCAATTTGTTTTAAAATACAAAAATACAGCATAGTTACCCCTCTTGTTATACAACAAACACAATTAATAACGCAAAAATTAAAAAAAAATCATCAAATCTTGTCTAACAAAATGATATAGAGTTTATGATCCATGGTTTCGAAGTATATCTAATTTATATATTCATATGTATCTCACAATTAGCAAATAACATTAAAATGCCATAATTTTATTTTAATGTCATTATATCTGAAAGCTAGTTTGCTTGACACTGTTTTGTTCAGTTTTGGGTTTGTATCGTTATAGATAGACACCAGTTTCCTTCTCACTATTGATGTATAATACTAAGCGGTTTGTATCATATAGCGGTGGATATCATGGATGTCAATTTAATACATTTTCTAATTACTTAATATATAGTTTAAACATTTCTGAATTTGAGTACCTTCGCTACATAAAAGATTGTTGTGCTCATGTTCGGAAAGTAAAATGTATTGTTTTGTGTGAAAACATAGAAATAAATGGAATTGTTTGTTAATTAGTTTGATAATTATTATGATACTAAACTTGATTATTGCATGAATTTATTACTATGATGCAACATGTCTTGAAAAGTTGATTGCAACTATGATTTTATTTGTGGGTTATATATCAATAAAACTAAGAAAAAAGGTTGTGTTTTTTTTGTATTGTACCATTTAGGCTTCTCCATAACGTTTTGTTACAAATGGGTTTCAGTACTTTTCACTGCAATTTAATGATGTGTTCAATAGTTTACGATATACGTTGCTTTCTAATGACTAAGTTATTTCAAAGGTAAAAAACAAACAGTATTAAACACGGAAACGTTTCGTTAAAATTAAAAAAAAACAGTGCATCAGGCCTGATAAACATTCAAAAACAAATATTTGATGCATTTTGTAATATGTACAAATGGATCAAAGGACAATTCAATGCGCACAGCCTTTGTTTTAAATGTGTTCTTGTAAGCCATATACCTATGTTTCCAGGACACACACCGCTTTGATGAGCGCTTGTTGGAAACCTGCAGGCAGTATGCAAACAATTCTAAAACATCATTTGCGTCTCTTAATGGCTAATCAAATTGATCACTAAAACGGAAGCAACACATTAAAACACAAAGCTGGTGATGAATACATATGATTGCCCCTCAAAAACTCTGGTAATATGTTGCCGAATACAACGCCCTATGTTGAGAAGGAAAACCTTAAAGGCAATTCACTTATAATTTGTAGTGTATACTTGACGTAAAGTCCTTTGCAAAAATGTCGTTTAACCTATTGACCTTCTGTATGAAAGACAGTGATAGAGTTTTATAATAACAAACGTTCAGACAAAAGATGATAAGAAAATGTTCTCCATAACGTACAAAAGTTTCTCGGTAATGTCATTTAAAAGTAAATTAAGAAGACCATTACCTGACTTTAACGTCGGTCAAAGGATATAAAAAAGATCGAATATATTGAGATTTGATCTAAATTTGAGTCCAATGATATAACTTTTATGGGATTGTCGTTTACGAGATAAACTACAAGTAATTTTCTTGTAACGTTTTAATTACAGAAATTTAGCTCATAGCGGCATAAAACTTGCTAGTTGAAGTGGATTTTAATTTATTTTTCCAGTAACAATTTGGTCACCATTTATTCTCCACGCTTATTTTAATATTTTTACGGATATGACGTCACTAACATGCAAAAAGCAAGAATCTTGTCCGTATAAGAGAAATTGAAATCAACAGCGTTCTTCAGTCAAGCTTTATCTAAATTTTCACACTGGATTTCATTTGTGCGTTATTAATATGTCACATTTAATACTGTAAAAAAAATTAAAAAGATATAAAGATAGGCGCTTCCTATAATAAATTCATGTTTAAATATAGCACTTGAACAGAACTGATAATTCGATTGATGATTCATGAATTATACATTATTTTGTGGGTAAAATAATCTAAATACGGACAGTCAAGCTAAGATAACAACACTTATAATCTCAAATAATGTGTACATAAACTCAATGTTTTGCATTGTCTCAAGAATACATGGAAATTTACAACAAAGTAAACTTGTCTAAACCTTGTGATGAAAGAGCATCAAGCTCGACAAACATATTGTACGAGTGTATTTAGCCGTACGGCCATGATTCAGAGGGTAAGGTAAACTACTACCACCACCACCACCGCGGGTTATTTTAAATTGCCGGGTTTACAAGTTTGAAATCGGTAATAGCTTATTATAAGTTATTATTAAGAGATGTTATCGCATGGTTTGGGAGTTTTTCTTTATTCTTATTAACTCACTATATTCAGAACACTTTCAATGAGGATTTGAAGACTGTATTGATATATAACAGTACAGTTTTTTTTCATATAGGAAAAATTTATTATACTTATATTAACAGTTAAGTATCACAAATTCCCAGTGGCAAGAAAAACATAAATTACATGGCTGGTATTGATTCCTTTTTTTTAATGTTTGCATTTAAAAGTATTTAAAACTAAAGGGAAAAGACACAAGAGAGGGAAAAAGCATTTCATAAAGTAATATTTTGCTGATTTCTGTCATAAATATTTTTATGAATTTGCGATAAAACAGTTTTAATTACTATAACCTTGACATATAACAATGTAGCCGTTGATGCTTGAAATACAAAGCTTTAATTTAACAATACAGAGGAAACATTTGCATAGCTTTTTCCTATTTTAGTTCTCAAGATTGTTGTTTAACCCAAACAACCATCTTAATTCAACTGAAATCTTTAAACATTAAACTACTTCATTTCTTGTGATCCGAATAATGGTATAATTATCGTATAAAATGAGAATAACATTGATATAAATTTAATGGAAATATATGGCCATACTTTTATAAAACATAAACCAAGGTTTGAAGAGGATTGGTGTCACGTCATTGTTTATAAATTACATAGGCTTTTGAAGTCGCCAAAAATTCGGGGAGGAGGGGGAGAAAGACAATATATACTACTTTATTTAATTTTACCCATAAAATATGGTGCTATATCAGTAAAATAAATTTCTTTTTTTTTAATAAATATGAAATATAAACATGAAAGTGGGCGGAGTCAAATTTCATTATATTTTAGGGACTACTTTCGCCATTTTGTTTTAAAAATCTGATAAATAAAAAACAATTTTTTGTTGAACTTTGTTTTGAAAACTATCTAGAATGATAGAAAATGGTCCAACTAAGAAAATAAATCCGATCACCAATATCTTTAATTCAGTCATTAACGCTGTACAGACGTTTGCGTGACGTCACAATGTAGCGCCAAACATCGTGTGCAAAACAAGGCGCATCTATATCACTGCACGTTGTACAATTGCAGTTGCGTAGCAAGCAAGGGGATTCGTAACAATTTTCTTTGATAATGAAATTAAATAAAAAGGATATTTTTTCGTTTTTCGTGAAATATAGTATATATTTTCACTGAGCATGATAAAATGCCACATATTTTCACTCGCCGTCCCGGCTCGTGAAAATATGTGGTATTTTACCATGTTTCGTGAAAATATATTCCATATTTCACTCAGACGAAAAAATATCCTCTTAATATTGACAAAGACTTTAAATTGTTTAATTTTTCCTCGAACTTAATCACTTGACATCAAAAGAAAATATCAAGTGCAGTTGTTTTTGGTGGTACAATATTGCAAAAGAATCTTCGTGTAGTATATAAGTATACATGTATTGTACGGGCTAATAAGCTAATAATTATCACAAACGTTAAAGGTTTATGAGAATGACTTAATACATCTATCTTATTTTTACATTGATGTGTTCATTATGTCCTTTTCAATATTTATTTTGTGTTACCGTAAAAAGGATGATTATATTCATTAATTTTCAAGTAATAATTGTTATGGTATAGCGATGAGACTGTTATGTGGAAAAATTATGGCCTAGGGCAACATCGAAGGTATTACCGTAAAGAAAATGATCGAGGCCGTAAGGGGCCCAGAACATTTTCTCTAGAGAAACTCCGACATTTTCGTTCGATATACTTAAACTGTTAAATCGCATGATAAGAATTTTGATAAGTCGTTATTTAAAAAGTACGTCAAAACCTAATTACATGTACTTTTTAGAAAACATAGAACCATGAAATCTTATGACCAGTCATGAATATTTCTGAGTAAAGTGAAATGAAAACAATCCTTCCTAGTGATCCAACATGACTGGTTTTGGTCTTGGTTGCGTCTGTGAACGTCGCTCTGATCATATGGTGTAGGTATCTTCTACAAATATCAGTACAATGTATTCAAAAACAGACACTCAATTACAAACTATGAATCACTTGTCATTGTTAAGAATTTTCAGTAATTCAGTTTTACTTCAGTAAGACACAAAGATAACAATGTCTTATTTGGGTTTCATGTAAAAACGGCGAAGCATTTGGACGTTTGAAAATGGTTTCAAGCTATTGATGACATGCTTTTTATTACTAAGGTCCAGTAAAAAACGTCAATAGTTAGAATGGTCCAAATGCATGCATATGATTTAAAAAAGAAACTTTAGCTTTATATTAGAATATACATGCAACTTCTCGCTACAACACATGATGGTATGCATTGTATCTTTATTATTATTTTTTTCATGTATTTTTTATTTAGTGATTTTTTTAGTCGTCTAGTACATTTTACTGCATTGTGCAGTACATGAATTGCCTAGTATCATAAATATGTGATAATTAAACATTTCTTGTCATCTATGATTTAAAAATAGACAGATAAAGAAACCCCCTCTTGTTCCATGGATCTGAATCACGCCACCCGTTGCGATAAACGTGCAAATCAATTATTCAGATATTACCGCAGATAAGAAACTTAAAAATGGCGTGGTTTCTCGGAAATCAACGTAATTTATAACGACCATAAATACACTCCTATAACAGACCGCCAAGGTTGCCTTGCAGAACCATAACATAACACTTGATAACGGTGTATGAATGTGCATGCAATTGATAAGACTGCACTTAACATGAATGGCTATCTAATAAAAAAATATCCAAGCTGATAATGGAGTTCATTAAGTCCTTATACACATCATTTTGTACTTTTTGATACTTTCGTATGGGCTTTATCCACCATAGATTTTTCAAAAACACAATCGAAAACAGGAAGTTTGTACCAAGTACGCGAGTGATTTTATCTAATTATTCAGCTTTATATTTAAATAAGTTTAAACATGATCAAACTTAATTCTTTAAAAAGAACTATGTTTTTTGCTAATATTTTTTAAAATATGTTTTGCTTTAGTTCCAGCTGTCTTTGAATTGGAAGATTTAAACCATCGTGAAGTTGGGAAATAATAATAAGGATAATTAATAAAGCATTACGGTTGTGAGAGGACAGATAATATGTGAGTAGAATAGCTTGTTACCTGTCAGAAATTAATGTAATATTTTAATTTTAATTTGTACCCATGTGGTTTTCCGCTTCCATAGAAACGAAAAGGCACAACCGTGCATATTCAAATATTTAGACGTGACGTCAAAATAGTACGTGTTATACAAACAGAGCGTTAACGTAAATGTTAAATATTGGCAAATATGATAATTAAACTTTCATAATAATCAGGACATTCAAACCTACAGTTTGCTTTAAGTAGTGGATAAATTTCCCAGTCACCAAATACACGTTCATTTCCGTGTGAGTATATTTTGTGATTGTATAGTTAATTTTACCATGAACTGGTTGGCTCTTTAAAAAAAACAACCATTTCCACTAAATAAGTAACTAAAATGATGTGTATCTCATAAAATATAAAAAGCTGTTTTTATAAATAGATTTATATTATATTGTAATTGCTACTGTGATATTTTATTTAAGTTTTTTTAGTAAAGTTTTAAATAGAACCGTTAATATATGAATATATATTTGAATTGGATCAGTTTTTTAGATTAGCACCAGTGTGTAATACCTTGTTGTGTTAGGATAAAGCAATGAAGTTTGCCCAAATTTACGAGTATGTGGAAGACAAAATAGGAGGTGTGTTTTCAAGTTACGGCCGTTTTGTTGCCCGTCATGCCTGGAAAATCCTTATAATTTCCGTGATAGTAAATGCTGGCCTTGGTGTCGGAATGATCAATCTTACATCTGACATCGACACAGGCAACGTTTATTATCCTATAGGTTTGTAATTTACCTTCTTAACAATTCTTATTTTCAACAATGTAGTAGATTCTAATCAAGAACTTCCATCCAATATTTGATAATGTTTGTCTTTCTTTATATATGTTTGGTAAAAGATTATAAGCCGCAGTCAATGATGTGTATATTCTATTAAAGTTTTGGTTTAGCATTTTACTCTGATACTAATAAAGATATAAATTTTGTAAAAAAATATTTAGTAAGTTAACACACTGCATTTTGAAATGTTTCATTTTCCATTCTTACTTATATTGTAACATTTTTTATGTTATTAAATACTTTGAAGGCAGCCAAGCTAGAAAAGACAAAGACAGGGTAGAGGAATTGTTTCCAGATCTAAGTGGATCACATTTCAATTCTCTACAACTAACTGAGGAGGCAAAATGGGCACGAATCATTGTGATGTCAAAGTCTGGAAATCTGTTAAAGAGGGCAGAGCTAGAAGAGGTCAAAACTATCGCTGAACATGTTCTCAATATAACAGCGTTATATAATGGCGCCAATATAAAGGTATCATTTACCGAGATTCTCTTTCATCTTATCAGTTATAAAACATTAAGATTCTAATTTATTATCCAAAATATTTAATTATCTAAAGACAAAAATGCTTTTGAATGATATGCTAAAATTGGTACAAGTGTCTACACACTTTCTTATCAAAACAATTGATCAGTAATCTTACATGTCTTAAACACACACTTATGCCTAAATTTTAAACATTATAGACTTATTTCTATGCATATGCAGTGTAAATTAGAATTGATAAAACATATTTAAAAGAAATTGTTCATACTGTTTGAAGTTTTCAGATTTTTGTGCTAATGTTAACAATAACTGTGCCGTTGAGGGTGACTTGTTTTGGAGTCCTGAATTTCTTGCTGCTGTTGACAAGATAAACGTCACATACCCAATTTTTACCAGTCCCAAACTGGGTGCAGTCAGTTATGCATCTTATATAGCAGGTACTTTCTAATTTTATAGTCCATATGTATACAGTATATGTTTTGATTGCAATTTTATAATAGCGACTATAAGCGTCAATATCATGTTTAATGCGTTAAATCTAATTATAAAATATCAAATGCCTTTTGACAAAAACTTTAAATAAGCGATATTATTGTAAGGCATTTTAGAATATTGAAAGTAAAAAAGAGTTGTCATATTTTGTTAACCATTAACCTGCTGGATGTATTTAATGGATTTGCCGAGCTTTCAATTATGACTAGTTCATTTCAATTTAGGGAGATTTGATATCAAAATACATGAACTACCATCAGCAACAGTATAGAGCTTGGTCAGAAGTACTGGCTGATCTGTCTGACTCTATGCTGGTGACAATGGTTAATTACTTTTAATTCCAGCAGGTAAAGGGTTAGGGCATTATTGCTACAATGACCTTGTATCTTTTTTCTTTCGTCAAAGATAAAGTAACTCTAGATACTACCGGAAGGCACCTTACTGGGGTGAAGTTCATCAAAATAAGTTTTATGATTCGAACTGATGGGTCAACTTATGAAGACATGGCAACTGAATGGGTAATGAGACGGTCTTTATCAATAATAATTTCAGGGTGGCCAACCCACCTGACCATTGGACAAAGTGCACGGCGGAAAATCTGGTAGACAATTCGTCAATATAATATAATGGAGATAATCGTTATCAAGTCCTTCAACACCCATATATAGATAACAAACACATGACTTATGTAAATAATTCCATAGCAACCGTATATTGTCAGTAAAATATTACAAAAATGTTCTCATCGCACAATGTTCTACTTAATTTCCCATCATCATTTACAATGTTGATTACCATTCTAATTGTTTTCTTTTCTTTTTTGTCAAACACTTGTCTGTCTATGGAAATGAGATTCATTGCTGATGTTCCGGACATGATATCGAACGCTTTTTGTACAATGCAACCAATCGTCTCCCTTACCTATTTATTGAAACGAAAATGACACTCTCTTATTACATATACCGTTGCCGTTTCTTAATACCTCTGGACATTTCCATATCGATTAACCCTTGCATTTTAATTACAGCTTTATATTTAGTTATGATTCTTATTAACAAATCCGGCGATATAGAGCTTAATCCTGGTCCTCCTGTAATCGCTGACACACTCAACTCTTCAAATTCATCTATTGAATCTTATGCTTCTCTCCTTAACCGAGGTCTGAGCATCATGCATTTGAATATCCAAAGCCTGAAGCCAAAGATTGATATTTTAGCTGTAGAGGCCCAACCTTATGACATCCTTATTTTCACAGAAACGTGGCTGTCTAACAATGTTACAGACACAGACCTTTACATTCCTAACTTTAGTAAACCCTTCCGTTGTGACAGAATCGATCGTATAGGCGGTGGTGTAGCTATTTATGTCCGTGATTCTTTACACGCTATTGAAAGGAAAGATCTGCAAGTGCAAGGTGTAGAAGCACTCTGGACTGAAATACATATATGTCAACGTAAATTAATTGTTGGGGGTATATATCGACCTCCGAATTCAAATAATACACAATGGTTAAAAATGGAATACTTGCTTGATCAGGCACTTAATCAACACGTTGATAATATCTTAGTAGCTGGTGACTTTAATATTAACGTACTTGCCAACCCTTCAAACAAAATGACAAGACTTATACATTCTTTAAATTGCGAACAACTAATAAACTCTCCTACGCATTACACAGAAAGTTCTAATTCACTTAAAAATCTCATCATGTTCTCACGTCTTTTGTTGCTGACCCATTTCTCTCTGACCTAGTTAGGTTTCACTGTCCAATAGTGTCAGTACTTAATTTTACCAAACCACAACAAAACTGTTTTCGTCGTAAAATTTGGATCTACGATAAAGGTGAGTATCAAAAATATAACGAAAAACTTAGTTCAATTGACTGGTCATTCATTGACAACGATCAAAACACAGATAATATTGCAGATTGTATCGCCCAAAACATTCTTAACGCAGCATCTGAAAGCATCCCAAACAGAATAGTAACTATCCGGCCAAATGACGTACCTTGGATAAATAATGATGTCAAAAAACAAATAAGAAAACGTAGGAAACTTCATCAAAGAGCTAAATTACTTAATAATGAAAAATGGTCTCGCTCCTGATTATCTCTCTGGTCTGATACCAGAACATTTTAATCAACCCTACACTCTTCGCTCTAACACCGATATCCCATTAATACACTGCAACTCCCAATCATATGCTACTTCTTTTCTTCCGTATACTATTCGCCAGTGGAATTCTTTACCTGGAAATATTAGAAATGCATCCACAGTAAGTGCTTTCAAACACAAACTCAACTACAGAAATATGTCGTCTAATAAGAAAAAACACCTGTATAATTTTGGCAGCAGGAAAAACCAAGTAAACCATACACGTCTCAGACTCGGATGCAGCTCTCTTAATTTCGAATTACATAGGAGAAACTTAATCTCGTCTCCTTTGTGTACATGTGGTGCCATAGAAACTGTTTCCCACTTTCTGCTCAGTTGTCCTAAGTACCATATCATACGTCAGCAATTCTTTGACGACCTACCCTGTGCCCCAACCCTTAATAATCTTCTTTTCGGCAATGATCGCCTAAGTATGGACATAAATCAGAATCTGTTCACACTTGTCCAGAGCTTCATTGAAGCATCAAAGCGTTTCGATTCATAATTCCCGACTCAGCGTTTTAAACATCGTATTTCCATGACAAACTGTGTGACACAACTTTTTTTTTTATTGTTATTATTATTTTTATTTTCTTCTCTCTTTTTTTTATTAAAAGGGAAAATGAATAAACAAAAAATCAAGTAAAACCTTCCGAAAAATTATAAATTTAGATCAATTTTGAACTTAAAAACATGCACTGATCATATAAAGTGAAATAACAAAGACGAAACTCCATCATGGAAAGGAATTAATATAAGTGTTATGCTTGTTTTCCAATCCATATATATTGTGATGTAAAAATGTTACATGCTTGTAAAAATTGATGAATAAAATATGTTTAAACTAATTCGTCAATATCTTTGAATAGATACTTAATAGATTTTCTACATATAAAACGTATAACATAGAAAACGTTTTCCTTGGCAAACACTGACTTTCTGCGAAGCTCCTCTCGGTTTCCGTAATACTTTTCCAACTGATTTAGTCGATTAATCCGTGCTCTTTGTTTAAATTTCCATCGACTGAACCAGTTGTGAAAAATATTGTAGAAAATTAGGAAGACTTCAAACAAAGTAGTTAGCAGCCAATGAATGTGGTTTCAAATTGGAGGGTTTAGGCACTTTAGTTGAAGGAAAACCATGAAGTATTAAAAAGTAACAAGCGCACGGAATGTTTTATTATTGTCCGCTGTGTATGTTGTTTAGAACTAAAATGGTTTCGCCACCTTGTTTCACATTATATTTAAATCGCTTATATGCTGATTGTTAGATTATTGCCGACTGTATGTTAAAGAATTACAGATCCACAATATAATTCTATTACAAAATTGTTTTTGTCGTTTTGTATCAAAACATAATTATTGTATAAAAAAATTTCAAACATCAAACTTAAGTGTGATCTTTCATTTTGATAATGGACTGTTTAGATTAATTACATCAGGTAAAATATACAACATCATTTTTTCTTAGATTGCTTTGAAGCTACCTGAAATGTTTCAAAAGTTAAGTTTGTTATGTACTGGAAAATGTGGTTTCTTTTACCACCCTCCGGGAATGTGTACGCTATTTAATATAATAATATCTGCTCCCTTATTTTTGAATTCAGACATAACTAAAATGTAAAGTGAATAAGATCAATGTAATATTTCAGGTAAAAAATTTCAATTCCTATATGGAAAAGTACTCATCAAACAAACTAGACATTGCATATGGTCATTTCAAGTCACGTGATGAGGAACTGGATAAAAATGTTTCTGGAGATATAACATTATTCTCCATCACATTCACTTTGATGATTACGTATGCATGTGTGTCTACAATATCGGGAAGGTAAAATATGTTTTGAATTATTATAATTGTTTTACTTTTAAATGTACAGAACGTTCTATACAATCCCCATGCATGTATACAAAGTACCCAAACGATAATACCAGAGGAGTAATAAATAATTTATATTATCAGTATTGACAATAATTATTTTATAAGTGTTTTCAAATTTACAGATTCACAGACCAGGTTGGACAAAGAATGTGGCTAGGTTTTGCAGGCATATTTGCAGCAGGGTTTGCTATCGTTGCTGGTTTTGGACTGTGTGCAGCTGTAGGAGTTGAATTTGTCAGCATAGTTGGAGTTTTACCATTCCTTATAATTGGTATAATATTGCAGTTTTATCAGATAAATATAAAAATTTTATGAAGGGACATGGTTGTTATATATTATTTTGAAATAGATCGATTATTATTCTAATAATTTAACCTACTCTTCTATTTTATTTGCAAAAAAAAGTAATAGAATCATGTTATGCTTGTTTCAAAAAAAGATAAGTATAGATTTTGGAAAAACAGTTCTTTCGTTGTTCATTAAAATCTCCTGAATCCCGGACAGTACTGTGAAATTGTCTAAGTTTTGTTTTTTAAGGTATTGGAATAGATGACATGTTCATACTTCTCTCTGGACTGTCAGAGGCTCAGAGTAAAATTTCAGTGGAAGAAAGAATGGCTGAAACATTACGTATTGCTGGAGTCGGAATCTCAATTACATCACTGACTGATGTCATAGCATTCGCGGCTGGTATTGGTTCTACATTTATTTCTGTCAGAAACTTCTGTATCTATACAAGTAAGTGTGCTTGCTTTATCATGCATATTAACTTGGTTTGTTTAAACGTTTGGTAATTACAATGTATTGTATACTTTCTTCTTTCCTTAATCAATCGTAATTGTGAAAAAAGTTCGAGTTAGTTTTTTTTATAAAAGCAATATCTCGAGATGCAAGATGTAACTTGTTTATAAACATCTTGGACATTTCCTGTTTTTAATTACTGTACAATTGGATTGCAGGTGTAGCTGTTGTCTTTTGTTATCTCAACAATCTAACATTCTTTGCATCTTGTATTGCAATAAATGAACGCAGGATCAACGATAATCGGCATTTTATGACTTGTCGAAAGATAGATACAAAAGAAGAACTACGACGTCGTGGGGCGTCAGCGAAGACTATCCTATGCTGTGGTGGTTCTCAACCGACAGGAAGGCATGAAGCTGAGGGATTCATTGATAGATTTCCACGCTGGATAATTCCAAAAATTGTCTTAAAAACACCATTTAAGATTATAATCATTTTACTATTCCTTGGGTATCTTGCAGCTGGTATTTATGGATGCATTTATTTGAAGCAAGGGTTACTGTTAACAAATTTGGTTAATGAAGATTCTTATTTCTATAAATACTCACAATGGAATGAAGAATATTTTCCTCGCCAGTCACCTGTATCGTTTGTTATTCAAGGATCGTATAAATATTCACACGACAATACACAAGCTCTAGTTAATAAACTGATAAGTGATGCACAATCAAACAAATATTTTGACGGTGCGTTTGAAATTAACTGGCTCAAGTCTTTTAAAAACTCACACTTTTACTCTAATGTAACTGAACAGAGTTTTATTGTCGGTGTGTATGACTTTTTACAGAATCCTATGTATTCCCGATTTTTGAATGATGTCGTGTTTGATTCTCAAAATCAAAGTATAACTGCTTCACGTGTTTACGTTCTTACAGCTAAACTTGAAGATAGCCAGGATGAAGGCAAGATGATGCTTGAGTCACGTGACATCGCAGATTCTGCTGCTATAAACTGTTTTTCATTTTCACCGTATTTTGTAGCATTTGAACAGTATGTTGCTATTTTAGGACAGAGTTTACAGTCTGTAGGAATAGCCTTGGCTGCTGTTTTTGTAATTACCTGCATATTTATGCCTCATCCCGTCCTTATTTTGTTTGTTACAGTTGCTGTTACTATGATTATGGTAGGTGTTTTCGGATATCTATTCTTCATTGATGTTACCCTTAGTGCTATAACAATGATACACTTGATAATGTCTGTAGGGTTCTCCATAGATTTCACAGCTCATATATGTCATGGTTATATGATTTCTACGGCTACGGAACGCGGGGAAAGAGTGAAAAGTGCTATTGATAAAACCGGTGCTCCTATATTTCACGGGGCAATATCTTCTCTGCTAGGAATCGTCGTATTGTTTTGGGCAAAATCGTATATATTTCGAACTTTTGGAATTGTAATGGCGTTTGTTTTGCTCTTCGGAATAACGCATGCGCTTTTACTACTTCCTGTTATTTTGTCGTGGATTGGTCCTTTAAGACATACAGTAGCAGAGAATGAAAAAAGTATGTCAAATCTGCGAGACAAAAGATCATAAAAAGTTGATAAACGTGTTATTATTAAAAGTTTAACAAAATACATTAACTCAAAATAAATGTATTGTATTGCTTTTCAAACAGAAACTTGCTTTGTTTAATAAATGAATATTCGTATTGACGATCAGCTGACTCTTTTAACAAAATACAATCAACGATGTGAAATGATTGAAGAGCATCAGCTTTAACTAACACAAACTCTCTTTAAAATGTATCTTTATTTTGATCATAGCATAATTTGCGTTTTATATTTTACATGGTGAAATAACAAAAAATTGTGTTTTATATCATTTGTTATGTGTTGTTTTCATGTTATTTATGATTTGATATGTTGTTGTTGTTTTTTATTCAATAAATGTTTTAATCTTATGCTTTGTTTACGATACATTACTGACTTTTGACCAAATATGAACGGGAAAAATACTAGGAGGTAATCATCATCTTTACTTCAACGTAATATGAGAAGGAAACTTGAGTTAAAAACAAACAGTATATCCGTTTTTACCAACTTAATGTTTATACATTTATTTTACTTCAGTTCAAGTTGAATTGTCATTTATTTTAAAGTCACGTACCAGCGTGCGGATATAAAGCACACTACAGCTACAGTACTAGTACTTCAAATCTGAGATTGATTTCTGTGTACGAAGACGGTGCTAGGAAGGCCTAAAATATTGCGACTTTTTCTGAAGAAATATTTAAATCAAGAACCAAACTGAATGTCAGATATTATTATGCCCGCGCCAAAAAATGGCTGGTGCATATAGTGTTCCGTAAGTCCGTCCTTTTCGTCCATCCGTCCTTCCGTCGACATCAGTTTCCGTTCATTATCTTGGTAATGGTTGCACACATTCATTTCAAATTTGACATATGGATACATCATAGGAAAATGCAGTTTACATGGGCATGAATTTTAGCAGAGTTATGCCCCTTAATGAAATTTTCAGTTTTCTTTCATTATCTCTCCGACGGTAGTACACGTTCAAATCAGATTTGATATATGGATACGTCAAAGGAATGCGCAGGTCTAGTTCAAATTTGGTCTGTTCAATGATTTTTTGGCAGAGTTATGCCCCTTCCACTTTGAAAAAAATAAGAAATTTTCAGTTTCGTTCATTATCTCCCCAACGGTATTACACATTCAACTCGAATTTGACAGATGGATATGCCATGAAAATGTGCAGGTCAAGTTCGAATTTGGTCATGGTTCAATGAATTTTGGCTGAGATATGCCCCTTTAAGTTTGAAAAAGGGAGAAATTTTCAATTTCCATTCATTATCTCCCCAACAGTTGTACATATTCATATCAAATTTGATATATATGGATATGTCATTGGAATACTCTGGTCAAGTTCGAATTTGGTCATGGTTTGATGATTTCTGACAGAGTTATCCCTCTTGAATTTCGAAAAAAGGATTTTTTTTTGTTCCGTTCATTATCTCCCAAGCAGTTATACACTTTCAACTCAAATTTGACATACATATAGATACATCTTAGGAATAAGTAGGCCAAGTTTTAATTTGGTCATGGTTCGGTTATTTTAAACAAAGTTATCTCTCTTGAACGTTGGAAATTTTTTTAGAAATATTCAATCTCCGCACTCTTACATTATCTCGGCTACAAATTTGCAATATGCAATTCGCAAAAGGTTAAAACTGAATACTTTCATGGCCTTGAACTTTGAAAAGTTGAAGGGCTTTGAACTTATTATGAAAAAAAAATAGATTGTGCAAACAAATTTGGGACTAAATATTATTACATGCATATCATCTGAAATTTTGGCTGCAAGCGGGAGCATCCGTGGCGTGACGGCACATTTCTAGTATGTCTCGATAGATTACAGTCTTCCACACTTTTAAAATTCTTGCTTTGAAAGTTAACTTTAACCAGAAATATACTGCAGTATATACAAAAGATAATGAGAAATACATTTAAGCTTTTCAATTTTTTTTGCACTATAAAATGATAATTGTGGACAATGGAATGAGCTAATGGTTTGAAATTGTGCACACAAGTTAATGGTCAAGACCTTTGAGACAAAATATTTCAGGTCCTGTTTTGTTTTTAAATACGATAGTTACTATTATTGACTTGTTAACAAACACTTCTACTTGGTGTCGGTAATTTTTATGGGAAAAGCAAAGATTGAAATATCAAAGTATGTTTACATTTGAATATTATATTTACAAATAAACAATAAATATCTAATTTTTATGAACATTTTTTAATTATAATATAATAAAAAATGGCTCGAAACAAATATATCATTGTATTTCACAGAAACCTTTTGCATGTACGTGTTTAATTTATAATAAATCAATTTTTATTTGAATTGCAAAATGAATTAAACTTTTCCATATCGACAAAGACAGATAGAAAACTATAACAAATAGAAAAGTATTTCTGTACAACTAAAGTGAGCTTTTTATTATACACATGTTTATATTTGGAACTTAATATTTATTTTGAATAAATGACCATATAATAGTATTTAGTTGATACTGTCCGTCATGGCTAAGAAACTTTTAGAAAAGCGTTCAATCTCAAAAACTATACTGAGATAAATAAAGTTTTATCCTTTTAAAAATCATTCTTGCCTCATGAAGTATGTAAAAGAGAAGATATGGTGTCAAACATATGCTGCTGTATTGTTGATCCATTTTATTCTGTCATGATTTTTGTGAATTCTGAAATAAAGCAAAAAAAGGTTTATAAATGCATGAAGTTAAAGATATCAAGAGTATTAGTACTTTGACAAAATTGACACTAAATATAAGTTATGTTTAGCAAAAATAATGACTGGCTGAATGGAGCAACTGAAAATACATCTTTTATATCAAGCACGACTTGAATGGCGACTTTTCTCGTTGATCTTTGTTCTCATATCTAATATATTTAGCTAATGTTTATTTATTATCACAATTTTATTATAAAAAGACAAGGGTAACAACAGATATTTTTAAAACAAAAATCAGACAAAAGTCTTACCTTACCTTCAGAAGGATTACCATTCTACCACGTCACATAAGGTCTGCATTATCATTTTACATCAATATACTCGTAATACAAAATTGACCTCTTGCCCGGTCCCATACAAATATGTCAATTCTTTTGCATGATTACCTAGTTTTAGCATGTTCTCTTGTGTTATACCAGGACATAGAAGACATCTAACACCTTCACCAACATGTGCTTTTATTTTATCTTATTTTATTAATGATTATGTATCACATGGCACGATAAAATATTATTCACTACGTAATGAAAAACGAAAACAATGAAATAAGTTAATACAAAACACTGAAGGTTACCTAAAGGTTTGTAACATATTTCGCTATCAATTTAACAGAAGTCCATATTTTTTCCCAAAATCTGGAAACTTTACTCCAGTAAAGCAAAGCGGCCATTTTATTATAAAAGAAGGATGTCTGATGATTTGAATAAATTTTGATTTTTATGCCTTTTTTAAAAAAAATGAATGCATACAAATTGTACAAAAACAATATCGAGAAAACAACAACAACAATAAATAAGTTTTCTGGGCAAGTAATGTTGTGGTCGTCTGACCAGAGTTTCAGTTTATAAAAGTTGCAGTTGCGCGTGTTGTTTTTTTAAAACCTGACACCCATTGAACGTTAATTTGCAGAATGTCTCAATTTTATTTGTTTCCTCCACGTCATTTAGTCATCATTTTCACAAATTCTGAAATTAAATCAATAAGTAAAAGAATTGCTACATCCAATCCTGCACTCCAATTCAATGCCCCTACTATGTAAAATGTGTGTAGTGTCTATTTCCAACGTATTAGTTCGGTCCTATAAGGCCAGCTAAAAGTTTTCCGTATCACAATATAGAGAAATAACTATTGGACGTATTTACCTGACAAATGTTATGAATGATATATTAGTGTTAAATAAAACTTTCACCAACATTTATATAAAAACACTACAAATGAAATGCTAACATAAAAAAACATGTTCAAGAACAAATTTTACATGAAGATATGATTATCAAAATAATGAACATGATTCACAGCATACCTTCATAATTTATCATCCCGTCACCGTCGTGGTCGGCTTCTTTTATCATTTCCTCAACCTCCTCGTCGGTTAGCTTCTCACCAAGATTGCACATTACACTCCGCAACTCTGTTAACGAAAGATTCAATAGCAACGTATTTGAAGAGGCAAGTAAAACAGCTGAAGATTAAGATTGCTTACTGTCAATGATTTTTGCAACGCCATTATTATTCTAGCACCTAGTATATTAGCATTCGTTCATTCAAGATGAAGTATAGAATAAAGGAGACATAATCAGTTGGCTACACAAAGGCTTTTACGAGGGTCATTCATTAAGTTATGTCACCAAAAGGTTTCCGTAGTTTACCCCAAACTTTTTTTAAAACGCTTCATTCAATAGCTAACTATAACAGTTTATTTCATGCCATTTGAGTGTAAAATAACCGAGATATTATCATTCGAAATACATGCAATGATATACTGACCAGTTTACAGACAATATTGTACAATGGACAACAAAAATGAAGTTCGAAGCTATATTATATGTAAATGTAGGCTTGATATAGTTATAACGCAGATATATAATAAATAGTGGCATATATGGACATTAGGTTCCTTTAAAGAATACAATATAAAACTGGGAAATTGTCAGTCAAGGAGGACTACCGTTCAGGGAGGCCTACAACCTCCGTTACCAAGGCAAACATTGCTGCTGTTAAGGTTATAGTAGAGCATGATGCAAGATTGTCAGTAAATGAGATAACTTATTGTACTGGCATATACAGTGCTTGCGTAAAGATCAAAACGGCCGTGTATTGCCGAAAAGACCATTAGGTAAAGAAAAGGTTGGATGCAATTTTCCTTATTTCCAGTTGACCAGTCGTTCAAGCACCTCGTCCATCTGGTAATACAGTCACTGGAAGTTCTACAGGAATTCAAAACTAAAAAGTGAAGGCGTTTTATATTAAGTGTCCAAGCAAAGGACGGTCAGGAATCCATCTCATACATGACAATTTCTTCTCCTCCTGGCGTCTGCAAATGTTAAAGTTGTAAACCGTACGCCTTATTCTCCTGACTTTATTCCCTGTGACCAAGGCTTAAGTGTTTTCTGGTAAAACATATACGTTCGGGAATTCTCTTGGCAGCGAAATTTATCAGTGTCTGCGACAGATTCCAAAAGAGGATTATTTTTCAGCTTTTCTAAACTGGACAGGGAGATTATTAAATGTAGAGGGAGAATGCTTCAAAAGTTTGAAATAGAAAGAAAACAGTTTATAAAGTGTAGCAGTAAGAAAATTTGAACCGAATGGCAGAACTTATGAAATAGAGAAAAGCAGATTCCCGTAAGAAAGCCCAACACGGCAAAAATGAAAATGTTGCAGGCTCGGTTTTATTGAGCTTGTTCGTACCATCGATCGATCTATAGAATATAAGAGAATTTATCATTTTCTATATAAAACCTTATTTTTAAAGCATATATTATCATATGAGTATTATCTTAATAGTATTTTCATTGTGAAATAGATAGAAAATCTAGTGACAAGTTGTTTATTTTGTCGTAGTCATTTGAGTTGAATTAGCCATAATTTTTTAAAGAAAGACTATTATAATGGCGATAAACAAGTAATTGATATAAAAGATAAACAAGAACGTGTTTGTTAAACACAAATGCCCCCGGGTAAGATTCTTGTCAGTAGCAATACTTCAAAAAATGTTTACCCATTCACTCAGTTATGGACAGAAAAATCGCCAAAAAATTGTAAACACAAGTTTTATAACTTGACAAAGTCATGGCATTTTGTAATTGTGAAAAATATAAGTTGCCAAGTCATTGCTCTGACTTATCTGTGATACGCAGGCTTCATAACCTCTGATTCCCTTTCAAAATTCCATTTTATTTAGTTCCGCCCATTGTTTTCTCGTTTAGGGCACACGCTTTTTATTACTTGGGGACCATACGCCGCTTTTCATGGAATGACACGGAAGTGTCACATTGAAGGTTCCATGATAACCGCCGTATGAACACATCTGCGGATGTTTCTAAATTCAAAATTATACTATTTCATGTTTAAATGTTGAATTCTGCTTAAGCCGGTGCTAGGGGGCGTGGACGGTAACTTGCACTTTCCAGTACCGTCCATGAACAGGCTCAATCAAACCGAGCCTGCAACATTTTCAATTTTGCCGTGTTGGGCTTTCTTTAGGGATTCTATATTTATCTATTTTATGATCACATCCGTGTCATTTGTGCCGTGTGGCGGCTGTAAAAAGTCTCCCCGTACATTTAATCAATGATGTTATATTTTCGATCCTTGAAGATCGTTCAGCACGACATTATTGTTGTGCTTGTGGTATTTTTAGTTTCAACTTTTCGGCATTTTCTAGTTGGGTGGTTCCAATATTCCTACTTGAATAATGTTGAATCACCCTTAGGATATGTTGCCTGCTTTTTAAATTTGTCTTTTGACGTCTTATCTGTGATACGCAGGCTTCATAACCTCTGATCCCCTTTCAAAATTCCATTTTATTTAGTTCCGCCCATTGTTTTCTTGTTTAGGGCACACGCTTTTTATTACTTGGGGACCATACGCCGCTTTTCATGGAATGACACGGAAGTGTCACATTGAAGGTTCCATGATAACCGCCGTATGAACACATCTGCGGATGTTTCTAAATTCAAAATTATACTATTTCATGTTTAAATGTTGAATTCTGCTTAAGCCGGTGCTAGGGGGCGTGGACGGTAACTTGCACTTTCCAGTACCGTCCATGAACAGGCTCAATCAAACCGAGCCTGCAACATTTTCAATTTTGCCGTGTTGGGCTTTCTTTAGAGATTCTATATTTATCTATTTTATGATCACATCCGTGTCATTTGTGCCGTGTGGCGGCTGTAAAAAGTCTCCCCGTACATTTAATCAATGATGTTATATTTTCGATCCTTGAAGATCGTTCAGCACGACATTATTGTTGTGCTTGTGGTATTTTTAGTTTCAACTTTTCGGCATTTTCTAGTTGGGTGGTTCCAATATTCCTACTTGAATAATGTTGAATCACCCTTAGGATATGTTGCCTGCTTTTTAAATTTGTCTTTTGACGTCTTATCTGTGATACGCAGGCTTCATAACCTCTGATCCCCTTTCAAAATTCCATTTTATTTAGTTCGCCCATTGTTTTCTTGTTTAGGGCACACACTTTCTATTACTTGTTCCCCATACGCCGTTTTTCATGGAATGACACGGAAGTGTCACATTGAAGGTTCCATGATAACCGCCGTATGAACACATCTGTGGATGTTTCTAAATTCAAAATTATACTATTTCATGTTTAAATGTTGAATTCTGCTTAAGCCGGTGCTAGGGGCGTGGGACGGTAACTTGCACTTTCCAGTACCGTCCATGAACAGGCTCAATCAAACCGAGCCTGCAACATTTTCAATTTTGCCGTGTTGGGCTTTCTTTAGAGATTCTATATTTATCTATTTTATGATCACATCCGTGTTATTTGTGCCGTGTGGCGGCTGTAAAAAGTCTCCCCGTACATTTAATCAATGATGTTATATTTTTCGATCCTTGAAGATCGTTCAGCACGACATTATTGTTGTGCTTGTGGTATTTTTTTAGTTTCAACTTTTCGGCATTTTCTAGTTGGGTGGTTCCAATATTCCTACTTGAATAATGTTGAATCACCCTTAGGATATGTTGCCTGCTTTTTAAATTTGTCTTTTGACGTCTTATCTGTGATACGCAGGCTTCATAACCTCTGATCCCCTTTCAAAATTCCATTTTATTTAGTTCCGCCCATTGTTTTCTTGTTTAGGGCACACGCTTTTTATTACTTGAAGACCATACGCCGCTTTTCATGGAATGACACGGAAGTGTCACATTGAAGGTTCCATGATAACCGCCGTATGAACACATCTGCGGATGTTTCTAAATTCAAAATTATACTATTTCATGTTTAAATGTTGAATTCTGCTTAAGCCGGTGCTAGGGGGCGTGGACGGTAACTTGCACTTTCCAGTACCGTCCATGAACAGGCTCAATCAAACCGAGCCTGCAACATTTTCAATTTTGCCGTGTTGGGCTTTCTTTAGGGATTCTATATTTATCTATTTTATGATCACATCCGTGTTATTTGTGCCGTGTGGCGGTTGTAAAAAGTCTCCCCGTACATTTAATCAATGATGTTATATTTTCGATCCTTGAAGATCGTTCAGCACGACATTATTGTTGTGCTTGTGGTATTTTTAGTTTCAACTTTTCGGCATTTTCTAGTTGGGTGGTTCCAATATTCCTACTTGAATAATGTTGAATCACCCTTAGGATATGTTGCCTGCTTTTTAAATTTGTCTTTTGACGTCTTATCTGTGATACGCAGGCTTCATAACCTCTGATCCCCTTTCAAAATTCCATTTTATTTAGTTCCGCCCATTGTTTTCTTGTTTAGGGCACACGCTTTTTATTACTTGAAGACCATACGCCGCTTTTCATGGAATGACACGGAAGTGTCACATTGAAGGTTCCATGATAACCGCCGTATGAACACATCTGCGGATGTTTCTAAATTCAAAATTATACTATTTCATGTTTAAATGTTGAATTCTGCTTAAGCCGGTGCTAGGGGGCGTGGACGGTAACTTGCACTTTCCAGTACCGTCCATGAACAGGCTCAATCAAACCGAGCCTGCAACATTTTCAATTTTGCCGTGTTGGGCTTTCTTTAGGGATTCTATATTTATCTATTTTGTGAAGTTGAAAAATATTTAACTTCATGCAAGTTATCTTCCTACCAAATATGAAATACATATGTCATTAAATAAAGGCTGTATGGGCAAAAGTGTAAAAATCTATTTTGAGCACTGGTGACCTTGACCAAACTGACCCCTAACTCTATCCAAAAGAAGAATACCATGTAAGTTATCTTCCTACCAAATATGAAATACATCTGTCAATAAATAAAGGCTGTTTGGGCAAAGTGTAAAAATCTATTTTTAGCACAAGTGACCTTGACCCAACTGACCCTTACTCCATCCAAAGGAAGAATACCATGCAAGTTATCTTCCTACCAAATATGAAATTCAACTGTCAATAAATAAAAGCTGTATGGGCAAAAGTGTAAAAATCTAT